TTGAGGAAAAGCACATTATGTAGATTAGTGCAGGACATAGATTAAGTCATCTTGTGGTTTAAAATTCCCATCTTAATTATATTATCAAGTTGACTGATTTTCTTCTCAGGTTTGCATTGTTTTGGTATGTTTTCAATTATGGTTCAGACACTTTTGTATGAATATCCTTAATTCCCATTTTAAAGGAGAAGTTGAAGTATGTTAAAGCAAGTTATTCTATGATGTGTGGAGCTTCTTTGGTGTATGCCTTCCCTGAAGCAGTAAGCCTTGCTCCTAGTCAGAGAGTGCTGTGACCAGATGTTGTTAGTAGACTGGGAAAATGTGAATGGATGATATTCAACTTTTTTTTTTTTTTTTTTTTTTTTTTTTTTTTTTGTACTTAGCATCTGTTTGGGGAAGGAGTGAGTCTGACTTCTACTCCTTACGAATCCCTGCAAGGTCATGACAGATTTGCTTTTTTCACTGCATAGACAGCACATAAATCTCACAGCTGTGGCACAGAAATCAATCTGTTAAGATAACTATTGCTAATTCTTCATTCTCCAGGAACAGGATGGCTTAAAATTCAAACCACAGAATACAGAGAAACAGAATAAAGAGCTTTTCACGCCCTACATTACCAGACTTGTTGAATCGGAGCAGTGCCCAAAAGTCATTACCATCCAATGGCTATGGGCCAGTATGGAATGAGTCACTGGGCTTTATCCAGATTGTAGTGGAGAAATTTCTGTCCAAATCACATAACTATGGCTACAGTTGGCAGGGGCTGAAGTACTTATTGGCAGCCATGGCAGAGAGTTTGAGGACTGAATGTACACTGAGAGACTGGATCTCTAGATCAGATTTTTTCCTGCACCTATGTGAGCCAGTGTTAAGCTTAAATAGGTAATTTTCCTTTGTGTGCGAGGTATCACTGCCTTGCAGATCTGTCAAACCAACAAACAACAACATTGTTTAAAACCAATTTAGAATTCATTCTTATGGTTACTTCATTGTCATTGTGGAGTGGGGATCTATGATGCTTCTCACGCAATTTTAAAAATCACAGCAGAACTCCCTGAAATGTCATGAAAGGGTTTGCCACATGGCAAAGTATTTTGTTGCAAATTTTAGTGCTGATAGATGGAAGACTGTATCCAAGAAGGATTATTTGTTGACACTGAAGGTTAGTAGGGGTTTAAATTAGACATGAACATTATCCTGTATGACCGTGAGAATTACTTTCATTTTACAGCACTTTATTTTCATTGTTTTCCTGGATTCAGGATCTTTGTAGATGATCCTTTCTATAAAGGACTCCAAAGAGGGAGAGACACAGTAACACATGGAATAAACAAAGCAGTGGCATGCGGCACACAGTCCCCATTCTCAGGTAGAGATTCCTAACAGAGGCCATCACATCACAGTTTTCAGTGGTCCCAGTCCTAGAGAGGAAAATATCTCTCAGGAGTAGCACTCCAAAGAGATATCAAAGCCCTGGCAGCTGACTTCCAGTCCTTGTGGTGGATGGTGCTTTGTACATGTTGGTGAATTTTAGTGGAAAAAGAGAGTTAAGCTGACAAACTCAGCTGATCTTGATGAAACTATACCAGTCTGATGATGAACTTCAGGTGCTGAACTGCTTTGATGAATACCCTGATGGAGCCAGTACGTTTTTCAGCAGACTAAAATGACCTTATTTTTGATACCACTGTTTTTCTGCAGTTCTCCCAAGCTGTGCTCAGTGTGTCAGGAATGGGAAGCTGACCATGAGCTGACTGCAACAGAGTAGGCTACAACAAAGAAGCAGCCAAGCTTAAATAGCCTGAAATCTCTTGCTTTCAGGGCTCTAGGAGAGCTTTCAAAACCCAAAGGGCTTTTCAACCCTAGACAGAGCCAGGTCTGCCTGCCAGCATGGGCTTCTTACAGAACAGGAGCAAATGCAAGATGAACAAGCTATTCACTATCCCAAACTGTGCTTTCCACACCTGAAATCAGGAGGAATTTGTTGCCAAGCTGGAAAGTTCTCCCCACTTCTCTTGTGAGTTCCTTCCTATAATGTTTCTTCTGGGGAAGGGACTTCTGGAAAACCTTTCTGCGCTGAAGTCAAGCAGACCTTGTTGAAACTCAGCTCTGAGTGGGAGAAGAGTTCTTACATGCTCCATGGTTATCAAAAGAACTTGATTGAAAGTGTCTTATTCCTGCCTATTTTAGTTTTATTTGATTTAATATATTTGATGCTGAACTGCAATGATTTTGCAGTAGTTTTAACTCTGGGCATTAAGTGGAAACAAAATACTAGGTTGCATTGCTAATTTCAAATCTTGGAAGCTGTACATTTGAATGCCAGCCTCTCTGTCCTAAATTTTCCCAAAACCAAGCTACATCTCTAAATAGCCACCTGCAATGCCTTGATGGTACATGAGTTTTTTAGTTCCAATTTAGCAATTTCCGCCCATCTTGTTATATCTGAGAGTGCAACCAGGTCTAGGGGTGGAAGCTGTTGTTTATGGCAAGATTTGCAGAAGCTGTTCATGATCACATCATTGGCAAGTGATGGCCACAGATTGTGTTGGGGTATGATTGTTTTATATGGTTGTTGGAAAAATTAATGATCTATAGTTATATATATTAGGAGGATGGTATTCAGCTCCCTAAATTTCACATATTCAGGCACCATCAAATGTGTAATGAAACCTTTCCCCAGTTTTTGTGCCAGATGTAAGAAGCTTTTGTCTTTACACTCCTTGTTGGGGAAAGATCCCTGATAGAAGTGCAGGTAGCTTGTAGAAACAGCTGTGGAAGTGATGTACAGAGTAAACTATTACACTCATGAGCTAGCAGTTCATTTGGTTGCCTCATGAGCTTGAAGACTGAAAATCCTTGACAGGAATATTAATAGCTGCGCATTCCCCATCCAATGATAACAAAGTAATACTGAAAAAAAATGGTGGTTTGAAAGAGAATTTAGGTAATCCCTAATCCTGTGACCCAGGGAGCAAATATCTGTTGATATTAGTTTGTTATGCACAGGCTGCCTAATCATATTAGGAGAAACAAACAACAGTGCATTGTTTTCCCTTAATTTAAGCATCTACTTCATCTTAAGGTACAGCTGCAAGTACACAACACATACAATGCATCTTGAGTGGACTCATGCACTTAGTTCTGATTTTGCCAAATGTTAGTATGGGACTGCCAAAACCAGTATGGGACTGACAGCCAGTTGAGTTGTGAATCCAGTTTATATCTTCATGCTGGACACAAGGGTTACAAGCCCATGGTTTGTATATGTTTTGTATCTGGTTGTCTGGTTTGACTGTAGAAAGAGGTGAGCTAATCCAGTTGGTTCCAGTGGCATATAGAGGTACTGAGCAAAGGTCAAGCTGTATGAGTTTTGTGTTTCATAGGAGTATTAGTTTGGCATGGTGAATGAGTCTCTTTCATGTGTATCACCCTAATATTATTGATATACCTCTTGTGCAAGGAGTGGAAGGGCTATGGTGTTAAAAAGGCTAGCACTTCTCTAAATGCAGTGTTCTTACTTGCAAAGCTCCACTTCTCCCAGAGCTAACAAGTTACAGCTTTTTTTCTGACTTTACTGGGGATCAGCTTGCATTGTCTCATGTTACACTGCAGAAAACTAAAGCCTGTCTGCCAGTTGTTGTTCCCAGTGCCTATCCTGTGCTACCAGAGCTGGCACAGGAGAGGAGGGATATGCAGCTGGAAGCATGATGTGCCCTGGCTGGTCCCATGTTCCCAGGAATCCAGACTGGGCTTTTTCAGTTCTCCTAAGGGCCAGGACTGGTAGAACAGCCCCATGCTTCTCCAGCCTTTCTCTGCTTCAGAGTTGTTCAGCCTCACTCTCATCTCCTCACTTGTTGATTGCAATCCAAGCCCTGAAGTGTAGCTGCTTGTTCCCGTCCTCTCTGCCTGTTTGCCCAGCCTATCTCTCTGTCGGGACCTAAAAACTATACATTGTTTTTTATCAACTCCACAATACATCAGTCCTAATGATGGAGATTTGGGAAAATTTTAGAGTAAAGGGCAATCAAAAATAATTTTAATACCAATTGTTTTAAAGACCTAACACTAAATGAAGAACTTCAAGCCTGCTCTTCAGCTACTCTGTTGGAGACAGCTGCTTGTAAGTGACCCTTTGGTAAGATTTCTTACAGGGAACTAAAGGGAGAGTGAAGAACTGCCAGTTGAAGCTTTTCATGCTACTCTCATTTTTGTCTTTGAGATTTAAAATTTTCACAAGAACCAAAAGATGGTATTTATGAGTATAGCTCGGGGAAGGAGGTTGCTTAAGCAGCTCCTACCCTATCACCAACATCTGCAGCTGTACTCCACCAGCTCCATGGAGATTCAGTACTCTGATATTTTTAGAAATAATCGCCTCCATATATTTCAGCATACAGATGAATGCAAGTTCATCTGAAAACACATTCTTTTTTTTACTTTGTTTATAGACTTTACTTTTACAGAAATTAGCTCTTTCCCTTGTTTTCCAAGCAGTGCTTTTGCAATTCGGTGACAGAACATGCTGTTGGATTTGAAAGAACATAATTTTCTGTTAAACTGTGTGCCCGTGTTCTGTTCTGCCTGGAGTACCATAAATCCTGCTGATTTTTATGGCATTCAGTGAATGTAGCTCTTCTGTAGAGATAAAGAAATCGCAAAGGTGTAAGCAAGGATTTGACCTTGTGTAATGCATTAGAAAAATGCATTGTGTAATGCAATAGAAGAAAAGCTGTACTGTGCAATATATAATAATAAAAGCACAATATATCTTTTGGCAGTGGCAGAACTCGAGCATCAGTACCTTTGATCTAATACCACCGAGGTCCAATGAGCCTCAACCATGGTGACCATTTCAAACTCCAGAAAAACACTCTGTGATGAACGCTCATCTCAAATAACTTCCTTAAATTTCTATAGGTAGAAGTAGTTTAAAGCCTTTGTTTCAAGTCTTGCAATACAGCCTAGAACTGTTTGTTTTTCTTGCTCTCTTACAGCCACTTTTCTAAACAGCATGGCCTTGCGAAGTTCTGGCAAGCTGAGCATGGAGACCAGGAAAGATGGTGAGAGTATGGCCCCTGCTCCTCCTCAGAAGAAGCTGTCCTGCCAGTGCCACCACCACTGCCCTGAGGATGCTGTCAACAACACCTGCAGGTTTGTGGGACAGATAGCTGGTGACTGGTGATACATGGCAAAACATACTTGTGGCAGCTCAGCAATCCCAAGTTGGGTGTCACAGTTTTTGTTTAAGCAGTTATATGTAAATGAGTTGGTTTTCACCGTGTCTAAAAATCAGAAGTAATTTTTACCTAGATATCAGCTGCATGGTTGTTGTTTCTTGGTGTTTTGTTTTGTTAGGGCATACACATATTTATCATTTTAGATAATACTTGTTTTAATGCATTGCAATATGGAATATTCTGAAGGTTGAACTTTGTTTGTAAAGGAGCACACAGCTAATGAGACGAGACCTAATGGAGATGTATTGAAATGTCAATAAATGATTATAAATTTATAATCACTCTCAATAGAATACTATTTATAAGAACCCTGGTCTTTGTTTGTGTCTGCAGTAGTTGCATCTGTAGGTCCTTAAGGCTTTGGATTTGGGGCATTTTTTTATTTCCAAGCTAAAAGGAAAACTACATTGAGGTGGTGTTGAGTATTTCTGTCTACTAGCTGTAGCCTTCTGCTTAATTTTGGGCTTAGAGTACTACAGATTTCTCTTTTGGGCTGGATTCTGCTTCCTCAGGACCTTTTGGCTCCTTGGGGGAGAGGCAGGCCCAGATGTGCACAATCTCCTTGAAGGCTCAGCACTGGTCTGTGTTGCACTGGCTGAAGCAAGCAGAGGTGACTGAGTGTACCTGTGGGAGGACCAAGCTGCTGTTCCCCTACCCAAAAGCAGCTCTTGCTGGACACATAAAACTGCCCTGAGTGAAGGTTGAATGAACCTCTGTCTTGGCTTGAGGTGCAGGTACAGTTTGCTTTAGCTGCAGCAAAGTTGGGCTGAGCTCTTCATGTTCCATATGAGGAATTTAAACTTCTCTGCTTGGCTAGAGCAGCTGGGTTACTGGAGACACCAGCTCTCGGCCAATAGCCTGGTGGAGCTGTGGGAGTCAGAGAATGACCAAAGCAGGGCACAGATGTGAAATGCAGTGCTGTTTGAGGTGAGATTGTCTAACACTGTGTCAGCTCTTCAAGGCAGTGTATTTAAAAGAGAAATGGGGAAAGCCGGAGGTTGCTGAAGGTACTGATTGCTTTGTTGGCTTTTTCAGTGTGGGTTTGCATCCTGACTTTTTTCACCTCAGCCTGCAGTTTCCTACTAAAGCTTATCAAAGTTTTTGTGACAGCTGTAAATACCATTTCCCCTTTCTAACCTCTTCCTACATGCCCATGCTTCAGCCAGGAGTTAGACCTAACTGCTCTCACATGACAGTCAATTTAAAAAGCTGTAAAACCCCACTCTGATACCAATTTGCTGATTCCCTGCAGTGTGAATCAGCTGTTTCCTCTTCCTGCCCAGCAAGAACCACAGCTTTCCTATGTGCTGTCTCACACGCACAGCAATTGGGAATTTGCAGATGACTTTTAAATCCTTGAATTAGGAAGCACAAAGAGATCCATACTGAGGAACTGACTGAGCAAGGTTTATCCCCCAGCTGGGTAGGCCTGCTTTTGCACGTCTCTTTGTAGGCATCATTGACATGAAATATTTTTCATGGAACTATGAGTGAATGTCCTGTTAGAATGAATTTGTTTTCCCTCACTGCAGTACTTTAAAGAAACTCTGTTCAGAGTCGCCTTTACAGTGTCAAATGTCAAACTCTTTTTTAGGTGTTAATGCCCAAGGATAGGCAGTTAAGTGGGAACAAAGCACAAAAGTGTAACCCCTTTTGTCTTCATTATCCTTAAAGGCTTCAGGCTTGAATGTTCTGCTTTATTGCCAGAATGATTTTTTCCAATTTAGACATCAAAATAATAATTGAACCTGGAATTTATCCATCAAATATGAATCACTTTTCTGCCCAGTCAGGAGTTTCCTGGAACAGTCAGGTGACTTGCTTTAGGTCAGCTCCTCTCTTCTGCCATGTGCTGTCCTCTGAGTAGTACCCACCTTGCCACTTGCCCAGTGAGCAACAGCATAAGTGAAAAATTGCTGAGTAGTTTGGAGTAATATAAAACAAATTAAATTAATTTAAATGCACTGCCTTCATGGCTTGTCAGCAGTAATCATGTTCATGATAGTGATCATTGCTATGGCTGCCACTGCCTTGGTGTGAGAGCTGCAGTGAGGTGTGAAGGACTTGACGCCCCTTGTTTTCCCTGCATATGTTTAACTGTTAGTGTAATAATGTAATAATTGCTTTTTAAAATTCCCTACTACATAGCTGGAATTATGGATTACACAGAAAATAAGATCCTGAGCCTTCTGTTGGGAAAGAGTGGTTATTAGGTGTCTGGTTAGCTGATTATTAGGTATCTGGTTAGTTGGCTGGATAGAGAAACTGGATAGAGTTTCAAAAGATTTGAGTACAACCAACCAGGTTAGCAAGGATTATAAATTTCCCCTGAGTTTTGGGATCATCCTACTAGTCAGGCAGTAACTTTTGTATTTTATCCTGCATGAATGACTGTTGGCACAATTTTAAAACACTCAGGGAATCACTGAGCATCACTATAAAGAAAGTTTCCCCATTTTGAAGGTCAAGAAATGTCAATGTCAGTGTTTGTCTGAAGAATAAATTGAATCCTTCAGATTTAAAGTTATTGCATTAATCATCTGCTTGCCACATATGTAGCCACTAAAAGCCTTTTGCATTTTATATTTTTTAATAAAAAATTAAAAATCAAGCCTCCTATCACCTCTGTCAATCTGTTAAGCTTTGGCCTGTGCTTGGACCTTCAGAGTTTGGACCTACCAGCCCAACAGGAATGAGCCAGTGTGTTCTGGGGCACCCAAGGGCCTGGAAAAGCTCTGAAACCCAGGAAATTCACTGAATCCATCCACAGCCAGGATTTGGGCTCTGGAGAGCATCAGCCACTGCCCTTACCAGGGTTCTTGCTAAAGCAGTGAAGCATTTTATGAGCCTAGGAGCAAGAACCTCTGAAATTTCAATGCAAAAGCATTTCCAGCTGTGTTTAAATTAAAGCTCTCAGAATAGAATAGCTAGTCTTATTGCAATCACCATTAAAATTTTATCCTAAAAATAGTTTGTCATCTCACATGAAGATTTTTACCTGCTACCACAGGTATTCAGCTTTAAAGTATATATCCAGCCCATAGTACCCAGGGTCTGAATGTTTATATAAAAATGAGGCCATCTGGTGGCCATTTAAAATCCTCTCTCTAATTGTATTTGTAGAAATTTTAAAGCCAATATTCTTTAACCACATCTATATCAAATCCTCCAACAGTCTGCTGTGCTCCTATACAGAATTTCCCTTTCTTTATACTTCTGCAGTTAAAATACAACAATACTTTAGAGAGCTAAGGATAACACTGGAGCCTAAAAGGAAGAATGCTTTTCTATCTGAGTAGAAAAGCCATAGCTCTAGTTAGAGTGTGCTTTAAATAATGGGGCAGTCTATGAGCACAGTGAAGTTTTGGAAGACCCACTGCAGAGTGAGCTCATCAAGGAAGGGTTAATGCCAAGGTCCCCCAAAAGGGGACCAAGCCAGGAGCTGAGGCTGACATCCTCACTCACCAGGACCCCATTTCCCGACGGATATGTGAACACAATGGGCAGAGACAGCTCCTTCGATAGCCCTTCCCATGGCTGGAGACAGGCACTCCTGTACCACTGCTTAGAGTTTCTGGGTAGGGGAAAAGAGGGGTCACAAGTGGGGCCACTCGGGGCAGTTGAAAAATACTAGTGCATTCAAGACCCTGACAGATGAAACCTTTGGAGAAGGCTCACAATCTCTGTTTGTAAAGGCTGTATTAAACTGCTGCGTGTTGAAACTTTATTCTTCTTTCTAAACATCTGTGCCATTCATAAAAGGCTTTCAGTAAAGAAGGTCAAAGCTGCTTTGAACACAACCAGGACCTTGTTTTACTGTTCCATTTAGGTTTTCTGTGTTCAAAGTGAATGCATGGACAGTTATGTCTGATCATAATTAATTGCATATTTTAAAACGCGTTGTTACGATTAATTGGCTTTGACTGTAATGGGATTGCAGTAAAGGCAGAGGCTAATTAGGTGCCTTGTCACACTCTGTTTTCATGCACAAATAAATGCTGGCAGTTTTAAAGATTGGGCTGATAAAGTTTAAGTTCCTATGTGTTGCCTACTAGATTGTATTTCTGCCTGACTGTGTCTTTGGTTATCTCAAGCAATAAAATAATTATGTTGCTTTTTCAGTGTTACCAAAGGTGATAACTCACTTGAGTGATGTTATTTTCATTCACGTGTTCTCCAGATGATATGATTGAATTTTCTTTGTAATTTGGTATGTAGAAGAAAAAAGACTTTGACAGTGGTCCAAGCACTGAGTTCAGGCAAGTTTTGTTTTAATCAACTTTAATTTTTAGGGAAAAGCTGAACATCTTAAATATTAGCCTTTCAATACTTGTATGGACTCACTTGAAATCAAATGAAATTAAAGATAAGGGATCTTTTCATCACATTATAAAAGTTACTTGTGATAGGCATTGAATGAGGGAAAGATGTTGCTTTTCAAAGTTATGTGTTGCCATCCCTGGCTGTGTCACACACTCACAGAGCCGGGTGGGAAATCTCCAGCACGCAGGTTTTGGTAGCTGAGGAATCACATCTTCTGTGAGAAATGGCTGCTGGCCAGTGGGGACATCTGTGTGAGCAGATGCAAAGCTGTTGGCTCTCTTATGACATTTGGGAAAGGTCTGAGTTAAGATCCCTGCTTTCTTTGTGGCAATCTGTAATTGTAACAGCACCCTCTATATCAGTGTCTGTCAGTGTTTCACTATTAGCTCCCTTTATTTTCCTGGCATTTGACTTGGCTGTAAGAATTCAATCTTGGCAAATATGTGACACAGCAAATCTGTGCATATGCACAGATCCAAAGTGATCACATCCAAAGTTAATTTAATCACCATACTCTAATACGATGGTGCTTCAGTGGAAGAGGTTACTGGATATGTACCCAGATGTATCCAGTTGTATGCACATTCAATTCCTTCTCTACACAGCATTTACAGAGTCAAGCGACAAAAAATTAGAATTCACATTGCAGAATCCAATAAAATAACAGTTCTATACTACAATTTTTTTTTTTCTAGGAAGTGGAGAATAAGTTTTTCATACTGCTTTGCAAGTATCAGTGATGTACAGATGTTTCTGTCAACAAAATAAGCATAAAATTTGAGGCTGTGCACACATCTCTGACTTGTTTCTTACTGGCTATATTATTAAGTTGCATTTCTACCCCAGTCAGGTGTGAGGTGGGGTAATCAATAAAACAGCAGGGTGTGCCCTGCCCTTATTCTTGCAGTGTGTGGTCCATCTGGCATCCTGTGAAACCAGGAGAACAGGTCAGGGGTGAAAGGAGGGGAAACAGGTAGGAGATCTTTCTTTTCAGAAGAGTCCCTTCTCCCTCTCATCTAAGCAGATCAGAAATTCTCAAAAAGATAAGTTCTTACGTTGCATGAAAGATGAAAGCTTTTTGTTGTTTGGTTTTCTTTTTTTTTTTTTTTTCCCTTAGAGGTAGAAACAAGCAGCAACAGTGTTTATTCTGCTCAGCAATGCTATTTTTTTCTCTCATTTTTCCTTCATTATTCTAACATCTGTAAAGAGTATTGTTTAGACTTTATAACTTCTTAGTTCTGCTCTACCCAATCTAATTTTTTCTTTTTAAATTTGGAGTACAATTTTTAGAGGGACTAAAGTGCATGAGGAGCCTGACTTTAATTTTCGTAAGTGAGCTAAGAATCAAGAGTCCCGTATGACAAGTCAGAAAAATAGAATTAAAACGGCTGACTTTCTGGTTTTTTTTCTCCCTTTTGGAAACAATTTGACTTTTTCTTCTCCTGCTTTTCTTTGATGAACCAGGAGTTTTAGGTTTTTTGCTGGGGCCTGTTAGCTCTGGAGTCCATTTTTGTGTTTCACTTGATAGCAATTTATTGTTTTGTTGCTCTGTCCCCTGGGTTACACTTACTCATTATTTTGAATCAAAGGCACTATGCAAACAAATAAAATCTAATCTAATATAATATTCTACTCTAATGGATTCCTTTCAGTCTGTCTTGGCAATCCTATTGTTCCTATCTTTTCAGCTCAAGCAATGACATCAAGGTGGTTGTTGCCCAGAAGGGTTACTGTCTCCTTTGCCTCACGCCTATGTACAATGCCAAAGAAGGGTAGAAGTCATTGCTGGCTTCCCTGAGAAAGTAATTTGTAATGTGCAATTGGTTACTTTTCAGATCCAGAAGTCAGTAACCCATGATAGATTATTATTTGAAGTAATAAGCTTACCGTGGCTAGACCCTGTCCCACTAATATAAAAATATGCCACAGAAAATGTTGGACATGATCCTCTGCAGCATCTCTCGGTTGTGTAGCTAATACTTACAAATTGTGTTTGTCTCTTAAATGTGTAACTGTGGCTCTTGTTTCCTACATCTTCATTGCCTTTGCTGCTGGTGCTCTTTAGACTCTTGCTTTATTCAAGTAAGGAGCAAATCATCTGAAATTTTGCTGTATTTAAGCTTTCTCATCATTTTTTCTTTTTATTTCCTTGTTTTAACTGAGTTTGTTTCTTCTCTTCTGAAAAATACTAATTGCACATAATAGCCAGTGTTATTTTCCTAAGCAAATAACAGAATATTTTATTTTTCTGTGACTTAAATGTCTTAAAGAGTTTTTTGGTTTTTTTTTTGGATCTTCTTCCTGCAAATCAGTCAGTTTTTATTTCTTACACGTTATATATCCCTGTCAGAGTGCTGAGAACTTAAGGTACAGCAGTTTCAATAAAATGCAGCCACCCTTTCCATGCCCTCCACTCCCTCTTTCCATAGCATTCAGGCATTTGACCCTCATCGAAGAAGGACATTTATCACCAGCACCATCTAGCCATCTGTTAGCATATTTGCCCTCCCTGGTGCACGTTCCTGTAAACGGAAGCATTATGGATCGCTTCAGGCTTATAACCCACGTAAACATCTCTGAAGGGTGTTGATGATAACTCAAGGACTCATACACAGGAGTGTTGCAGTTCATAATATGGTTAAAACAGGAATCACAAATCAGTCTTGGTAATATTTTACGTTCAGTATCTCAGAAGTGTTTCTTTCTTCGGGTCTGTACCGTGGTGCAAGTATCCGTGCCTTGTTCCTGTGCTCAGGGCAGACCTTGTGTAGCACTGAAGTATAGGTATAGGTACAGCATTTTGTATAGATTTCCAAAGTCTCAACACAGTAATGACCACAGGCAGAGAACTGGGGTGCTTGTTAGTGGGGTTTAGGCTGTGAAATGTTGCAAAGGTAAGTGCACAGCTCTGAGGCAGAGACTCCTTTGTGTGTGCAGGAGCTGGTCTGCAGCAGCCCCAGTGTGTCCATTTGTGAATGGCAGATTTGCCTGGCAAGGAGCAAAGTTTAGGACAATATTCAAGATCACATTTTCCACTTTTCACATTTCAGTGCCTTTTCCTGATTCATTCTTTCCAATCCGCAGCACCGATGGCTACTGCTTCACCATAATAGAAGAGGATGAGTCTGGTGGACATTTAGTCACCAAGGGATGTCTTGGATTAGAGGGCTCAGACTTCCAGTGTCGGGTGAGGAAGCATTTTCTGCCACAGTGTCGCTTGAATTTTTGATAGTTTTCAATTAAAGCGCAGTCAACAGACATTGCTCTGTCCATGTTTTCCACTTCTTTTCCTTTGGCAGATAGTTACTTACTGAGGGGAGTGCATTTATATCCCCAAAAGATGGTACTATAGATCCTCCTAATAATACCTCATGTTTTTGGTTTTGGCAGTGCTGCTACTAATAACATTCTCAGTCAGAGGAAGTTTGGATTTAGAGAATTGCAGTCTTAACATCACAAATCTCCATGCTAGCTAAAGTTAGGATATTATGTGATGGACTGCAGTAACATCTACATCTTACATGCAGTTGCACATTGGTTTGGGATTTTTGCTGCCAGATATTCCCTTCAAATACAGTGATCACCTGATGGAAAACAAGTATCACTGCAGGAATGGAAGGGGCGTGGAAAATGGAGCAGGGTGGCTCTGAGGTGGTTGCCTTTCCTCATGTCAACCTAGTTTTAGATGAGTTTAGAATGGTTTAATCATTATGGCTAATGGAAGGTATTTTATCCAGCTTCCCACTAGATCAGAAGCTGCAGCTAAATTAGAACATGCAGCAATTCCTGTATTATCCTGGCTAACCTGTTTTGGATACCCATATTAACTCATTTTTGGTCTAACTGATGGATGTATGTGACTTTCACACTTCTGACTTGCACCATTAGAGAAAGTCAGTCCCTTCTGCAGCATTAAGGCACCAACAGGAGTAAGTTTGGAGTGAATTAATGTCTTAATTACCTGGATGAAATATTGCTGGATGCGCCGGTTGGCAGAAATCCTTACTCCACACATCCGAGGAATCTGTAGCAGATTGCACTCCAGCTAGCAAGCACATCTTTCAGGTGCCAGAATGACAGTGTCTATTTACAACACGGGTAATGACTTGCTTTCTGTCTAAATTGCTCGTTGCAGGACACTCCTATTCCACACCAAAGAAGATCTATTGGATGTTGCACAGGCCAAGATTACTGTAACAGATACCTTCACCCTACACTGCCACCACTGAAGAATCGAGGTAAGGGAACAAAATCCAGTCCTAAGCTGATCTTTTCCTGCTGTTGGTCCTTGTGCCTTAGAGAAAAATAGAGCACAGACTGAAGCACCTCTACCTAAAGGCATGTGATTAAAGATAAATGGCATTAAACAGTATTTCTCCATTCCTGTAGGATGTGTGTGGAATGGTGCTGATGCTTGGTGTTATTTCTGTTGCACACATGCAACAAACTCAAGATGCATTAGAGTCACTTGATGCTGTCCCAGCACAGACTTGCTGAGCTATCAGAGATCATCTCAAAGACCTAGGCTGGACATAGCAGTGGATGACTCTTGCTGTGTATTTTTTAGCCTGATAATAAATCCTCTCTCCAGTCCCTGTAACGTGCATTACTCTCATTCATAAGTCCACACACAAATTGGTCAGTTCAAGCTGACACAAGTCTGTAAGTTTTTCTTATTTGCAAGACCTGATCATCCAGCATTAGCACAATAATGACTGACTAAAGTGTATTTTTTATGTGAACAATGTAGCTGGAAAAATAATGTAGGGTAAGAACTCACACAATTAAAAAAAAAATATTCGAGCGCAAATGGGCATGTGTTAACTTACTAGGTGCTGAGGCAAGGTTTTAGCATTTTTGTTTGTTTAAACATCACTTTCTGAAAACTGGTAAAACTGTTTTTGTCTGTATGTTCAGAATAAATTTTACAGAAGTGTATTCCTAAGTAAGTGTAAATTCATCCGTAATAAACTCTTGGCATCAGCGGGAATTGTGGTAGTCAGCAACAAGTCAGTTCAAGGTTGCAGAAGAATTTATAATCGTGGTGTTCTGTGTTGAAGATCCAGATCGGTGCACAGATGCACTCTTTAATTTCACCAACAGCAGAGACTTACACGAATGCATGCTCAGAGAAAGCCTTCACTCATGTAGGCTGTTCCCTTCGGGCCTGTGAAAGTCTGCACAGATGGGCTGCAGAGTCAGGCCTTTGGAGAGTAGTATGTAAATACTTCACTGTTTACTAGCAAGGCATTAAGGCAGCGAAACCTCATAAAATTCTGACTTCCAACAGAAGAGTTATGTACTACTTTGTTGGTTTATTTAATTTTAAAAAGTTCTTTGGACTGAGAAAGAAGATCCAAAAAGCAGTCAATATTTGTTCACACTTACTTAGTCTTTCGTTAAATATCGGTTTGGAAAACACTGCCATGATTTCTTCTTGCTACTGGCTGAGTTTATTCTACATTAGGACTACTTAAAAATACTGAATCAGAGTCTAACACTAGACATCCATCTATTGGGATTTTAGTTATTTGGCAATCTATCTGCTACTTATAAAGAAAGCAATGAACCAAGCTTATGGTAGTAACAGAAGTTGTTTGGGTCAATGTTGGGTTTGTCCTGTATGTATATAGGACATAGGTAAATAAAGTATAGGTTGGGAACCATGGTGTCAGAGAGAATATTTTTTAAAATAAAATTTCAGAGAGCTACAGCAGGGTTCTAGCTGTTCTGTGTTGCAAAGTTGACTGTTTTAGCATTACAGACAAAAGGTGATGTGGTCACTCAACATACTCAAAAGATTTTTTTTTTTTTTTAAACAAGCTCTCACACTACCAGCATCCTGGGTGTGCTTTGTAGAAATGCATTTCAGGAACTGCTTGAATAAATGTGGCTGAACAGGGCTGAAGTCACCACATTTTAAAGCCTTAGGTTAATATGTCATTCTCAGTGCCAGGCCTGTTTTAATTTGTCGCTGCTGTATCCTAGTATGAAATCTCAGGAAAAAAAAAAAAAAAGCCATAGTTTGAACCACAAGCCCTCACTGCAAATAGGTAAAAATATTGTCTACAAATACATGTTACTGCCAGTGCCCAGCACTGTGGCTGTGATCATTGTTTCTACTGGAAGCATTTAGATTACGCTCTGGCAGTCTGAGTAATGTTAGCATTGTATATCAAATTTAACATAAACTATAAGTTCAGAAAAAGAGAGGTGAACTTAAAAACAAGCTTCTTGGAATAACCTTCTGGCCTTCAGGGTTCCATGAAAGATACGCATGCTCCTCAGCATGTAAAAAACAAACAGAAATTTGGCTTCTGATGAACTCACATCTGAGGTGATACCTCATGGGAAACAAAGTCTAGGGCGAGCATGCAACTGCAGGTCAGAGGCTGCTGAACTCAAAATTGACCTATGCACCAAGGTAACAGCTACAAAGGCAAGTGACTTGTGTTCTCTAAGTGCTTTTCCAGGCCTGGCATGTGCTGCAAGGCAAGATTTATGCCACATCTTACCCTTCTCCTCTCCCTGCTGGAAAGAAGGGAGGACCACATGCGTGAAAATGAGAGCTAGAAAAATTAACACTGGTCAAAGCAAGACTTGTTAAGTAAGATGGAAGAAACAGCAGCTAAGCCTAAGTTTTGAGCTCATCTTGGTACAGAACTACAGGATAAAATATCCCAGAGAAACCATTAAATCCTTGTGCCAGCTGTCTTATTAAGGAAATGAAAGTCATAATTTGGTCTGATATAACACCTCTGCTTTAAACAATAAAAGATATTCCTGGAAATCCCAGCGAAAGCACAGGCTGAGACCCGTCAAAAGGAGAAATATGTCTTTACTGATTTAGAGCCTATATAAGCAGAAGTGGTGGTGCCACCGTGTCTGGCTCCCTGCCTGTATAGCTAGTGATGAATGGGCAAGGGAATGATTGGAGGAATGATGGGGTTTGATGTGTGCACACAGTCTCCAAGCCTCAGATTTCACTGCCTTTTCTACTTGGATAGCTGTAGCATTCTGAGCTGGAGGGACTTGGGGTGGGAGGGGAACCTCCTCTCCCTTTGATATGCTGAATTCTGAACCTTCTGGGTGGCATTTTCAATGCACTCCTCAGCGTGGTCCCGCTGAAGACAGTGAGTGAAACGAGTGGTAGAGGAGGGGGAAATTGCAGGAGAAAAATAGAGAGGCTGCTTGGTCTTGCCGTGCTCCCTGCTGTCACCAGCCTGCACCACTGTTTTCCTACATCATGGAACTGTTAATGTGCTTTTTTCTGGGCTCCACTGTTATCAGCCAGCCAAGGCATGTGAAGAAGCCTCCCAAACCTACCGTGTGTTTGTTTTGCACTTCCCACACCACTCACTGCTGCCTCTGTGGAAGCTGCTGCTTATTCTCATAACCCTGCTGCTTGGCACCTTGCAGTTCCAAGTAACACAGCAGTAAAAAGCACAGCACTGGACTTCTTAAAGGGCAGAGTACTTCCATCACTACACTGGCACTAACTGGGACCCACCACAGAGCCCATAACCAACTCTCAAGGCAGACTCACAGCTGAGCTGCCCCGTCCCTCCTCCTGCTCAAATACTGTAGGGAAAGGGAAGTTTGTCCTGCTGCTCTGTGGGGAACAGCCTGGGCTGGAGGAGCAGGAGAAGAAATACAGCCTGGGTCAGGGCAGCAGAACAAACAGACATTGTTGGTGTAAGGATGGGGGCTTGCATTTAATCTTGTGTTGTCCACACACACACCAGCAGGTTTATGAAGTTTTCAAGTTAGGCAGCAAATGAAATCCTGCCAAAATGCTTTAAAAACACAGGAAGTGTTTGAAAGGTGAGACAATAGCTCACTTACCATCAGTATTGCCTCTCAAATAGCCAAATAAATAGAAAGGCATATGGAACTTACTCTGCCCTCCTGTGAGAGCCAGTTGCATGCCTGTGCTGTGCACAGTGAACCACTGCTAAAGCTGTGTTGGCATGGGGGACACCACCCACCACAAGAGGGTCAGCTCTGCATCTGGTCAAGGTCTTGTTTACTGCTCCCAGCAAGGAGATCAGGACACGTTCCTTTATCCTTTATGTCTTTCATGCTTTCCTTACACTTGCTTCACATAATTATATTTGGGTGCCCAAAAATTTTTGCAGTGTTGGAGCCTGAAGTTCATCTGCGAGCTGCACAGTACTTCCAAAATGCCTTCTGGCCTCTGGGAGAACCAAACTGCATTTATTTACTTTTCTGAATGGCAGAAGCCCATTAGAAACATTGAGCATAAGGTTTGGATCACTTAAACCCTAAAAACTGTGGGAATTTGATTCAAGATTTCAGCATGTTTATCATCCCTCTCCAAATGTACATACTCTTGTACACGCCCAGGTAGCGTGAACAGCTTCACGGGCAATACTGTATCTCCAAAAATGCACAGATTTCCATGGCTTTAACATCTAGCAGAAACAAGCCTAAAATCTGAGTTGTTCCCTCTCTGTTTCACATCAGCTTTCATTACTGCTAAGCACAGAAGCTCAGTTTCCTTCACGCTGTACTGTGTGAAGTGGGAGAACCCTTTCTGTGGGTGGTTATCCGGGTTTCTCCCAGGTGTGGAATGCCACTTTCTGGCCTCTGTGCTCTGCTTATTCATCTGATGGGCTGTGACATCTGAAACTGTTAGAACCCACACGTTTTAGAAGGAGGTGGTACTGACAAAGGCTGCTTACAAAGCACAAACCAGAGCCCTCAGCCCTGCCCAGCTGCCATCACCTTCATGAGAGCTCTGGATTCCCCAGTGGGCTCTCGGTTTCGACCCACAGCCCACTTGGAATGGCAGGCCAGGGGTGAATCTGCTGTGGCAGGCAGAAGGATGGGCTCAAGGGTTTTCTTGATAGACATCGTGTCAGTGTCCCCTTTCACAGGCATCAGCCCTGTCCTGAATGTTTACATTGTCAGTGCTCCCAGAGCAGGTAATGGCAGGTTAAAACATGACCAGTGTGACTGGGAGGTGTGTTGGTATATAATCTGTGTTTGTAGTGGAAAGGAGAAGGAAAGAAATTGTTCAGGAGCAAAAAAAAAAGGAGAAACTGGATCTTTAAAATAAAAGAGCCTGAAAGTAAAGTAAGAGTCCCTTAGGAATCTCCTGGTCTCATTACCCTTGTAAATCTGAAACATAATAACATCGTTCCAGGACCAGTCAATAAGGATAGATTTCTTGCATTCTCCGATATGTCAGGCATTGGAGTGAAGGATGCAAGACAGCAAAGCTGGAAGTGCTTCAGAAAACATGGCCCTCATTTGCATTATCCCATGTTTTTGGAAGGGTGGTTTATATATGTACAGGCTGAAATACTATAATTTTGAGGGTCTGAGTGGCAGGGGAGGTTTAAAAAAGAATAGAGCTGGATGTCTTTGTTTTTCAGCAGAGAAGCATGCATGAAGGTCAGACTCGCTTGCCTGAGCTGAGAATTCAAATTTGCAGATTAATGTTATACTTTAAAGAAGAATACAAGTCTCCTGTACAAAGGTTGACTGAAACATTTTAATAGTTTTTATGCAGCAGAATTTTCTACAAGTTATTTGACACATTTTATTTTCAAGGTGTTTTGCAGAAAAGCCACTGGAGGGATAGTTTTGCCCACCAGCATAGGAGGGACTTGCTGGCACACAGGGCTGCTATAGTGCAGATGGAGAAGAAAATTCTTGCTTAAAACAGGATCTAAGAGGCAAATTGTTTTGTAATGGTGGAAATAATACACTTTCAAGGCCTCTCATGGCCTGCCTTGTTGGAGGTTGAATGGTCTGCTGTGTCTTCCCTTCTAGAATAAATGTAGTTGGTGTGTGTTGTTATTGGGTTTTTTTAAAATCTACTCATTAGGATGCTACTTAATCTGAGTTTTTAAAAAGGCAGTAATTTTTGCATGTCCTGGCTGATCACTCAGGTTAAGACCCAGAGCTACAGGTCTTGACTGATTTTCATTCAGAGACAAACAGGGCATTACAAATCAAGACAAAGTTTTGCCTGAGTGAGAACTGAGAAAACAAGTAGGGTTTTGGAAGTGTCAGTTCTGTCCTGGTCAGTGAGAGTCAAAGAGGAAGCCCACAAAATGCCTGGGGAATCCAGGGGTATCCTGTAAAGGAATTATGAGGAAAGAGTGGAAATGATCTTGTGCTCAATGCTCTTCTGACATTGACTTTATACCATCTCTCTTTCTAAATTTTCCAACTTTCTCATTTTTTAACCCCAGACTTTGCTGAAGGAAACATTCACCACAAGGCCTTGCTGATCTCAGTGACTGTTTGCAGCATCCTTCTAGTGCTTATCATCATATTTTTCTACTTCAGGTAACTAAGGAATATTTTGGCAGCTTGTTAATGTTCCTCCCAACATTTATCTTTTTATAGATTTAGGAAATTGAAAAAAGAATGGAAGTGGACCTTAAAGAAAAGAAACGAGAAACTGTTATAATGAAAAAAAAGTGTATTTTATTCATGCTGTCCACAGGTATACTTGTGTGACATATTTCATACGGAATCTTTCACTCAACATCCTTAAAAGCCATTGAGGTAGAAGCACAGATTATTCTTTATTGAGAAGGCCAAAGGACAAATTTTATAGGGAAATTTTTGTAAGGGAAGTATATCTAAGACTCATAAATTTGTTTATGTGGTGAAGACCTGATCACAAAAAAAAGAAGAAAAGACAGGAATGACAGTAAATAGGTCTAGAATGTTATCATAATCTACATATTTTACATTTTAATAATTTGACACATTTTTTACATATTCCCAGATTCCATGACTTTACCTCCTCTGGCTCCTGAAAATGCACTGCAGACAATAAAATAAAGTTACTTACTTGATCAGTGTATTAGACATATTAAAGTTTCTGAAAAAAAAGCATTTGGTTGCTTTGCGAATTTACCCCAGACTGTATGGCCTGTGAAAGTTATACTTAGAATTTTGATGATGAAAACAGTTGCTAAAAATAAAATAAAAAATTTTGGCCAGCAAGTCCAGTGTATTCCTCAGGGAAGCAGAGAAATCTGTTAGTCTATAAATGAAGGAAATGTGAAGGACGTGCATTATTGCACATGTGTTCATTGTATTCAAAACTCATTTCGTTTTCGTGTAAAACATCAGATACAAACGCCAAGAGACGAGGCCCCACTACAGCATCGGGCTGGAGCAGGATGAGACCTACATTCCCCCCGGAGAGTCCCTGAAGGATTTGATCGAGCAGTCCCAGAGCTCAGGCAGCGGTTCCGGGCTCCCTCTCCTGGTAAGGAAGCAATACTAGTTTAATGCACATTTCAAAGGCAAAACATCTGTAGAGGGAGAAGAGGCACAAGAAATACATTTACATGTCCTCAGTTCTGGTTTTTTTAGGGTTTTTTTTTGTTGTTGTTTGTTTGTGGTTTTTTGTTGTTGTTGTTGTTTTCTATGAGGAATGACAAAGATAAGATTTAAACAAGGAGAACAGCTGCTTTAGAAGCAGGGGATTTTTTTTTTCATGTGAACTAAGCCAAAAAAGGTTAGGGTTATTTTTCTACCCCAATTCATTTCTTATTTTAGATACCATAGGGTAAGTACAGGCTAAGAGAGCTCATGGAAGTAGATGAAGATTTGCTCCAGTGTATAGGACAGCACCTGGCCCACTGATATTGTTTTCTTACTTTGTATGTGCAATGCACAATAGTATTTCAAACACTGACACATTGCCTTTTTCTAAGGGGAACTGTAACTTGTCAAACTTGGAACCTTTTTATTTGTAAGCTTCACTTTGCATTAGGAAGTCAATGGGGATTTTTTTTTTTCTTTGTGGTATGGCAATCTTAAAGATTAAAGGCACAGGGATGGAGGTTATGATTATTTCTGAACAGACTCCAGGATTACGAAACCTGCTGAAAAGGCAGAATGTTCTGTGGTAATATAGTGCTGTTCACCAGGGGATTTTTTTTTTTCTGGGGATCATCAATGGTAGAAAAGAATTGTAAAAAAGCTAGGTTACATATTTTAAATAAGTGCCTCTGAGAAATTGGAAGATTTCATTTTCATTTCTCAGAGTGGATGAGTCCCTCCTGTCTTCCAAACCCATTAGTTTGTATTGACGCTACTACTGCAGGTGTTGTCCAGCTTCCAAGTGCCATGTATTATCTCTCTGGTTTTTGCCCACACATAGTTTTTAAACACCCTGAAGAAGACATTAAATGGGAAGTTTTATATTTCCTTAAAAATGAAGCAACAGGCTCTGTCCTATCCCATGCCAATGTCCTTTTAGCACCCTGTAGTAGTTTTGGTTTGCTAATTTGAGATTTTCTGCCCTATGGAAAGGGAGAGATCTTGTGTGCAGTTTAGGACCATTCATAATGGGTTTCCAGTTGATTTAATTGTGAGGAATTCTTCCTTTTTTTGCTTTGGGGTGTGGTTGTTTTGTTTTTTGGTGGTTGTTTTTTTTTTTTTTTTGCATAACACCTGCCTCATCAAGGTCTTCATCTTCACTTGTTCCAATGACATTAAAAATGTAATAATTTAGAACAAATACAAGGAACGTGGTTGTACTTCTCTGAGAAGATGTGTTTCTCTGTGTGGGTAGCAGGTGCCCTGGGGCACTTCATAGCAGTGCATGGCTCAGTCCTTCATCCCAGGATCCTAAAAAAAGCTGGAGCAATGCTGGTTATGACTGCTTGTTCTTTATGCCTTCCTCTTTCCCAGTGAGCAGTTTGAAGGAGGGATCTGTGCTCTCAGTGCTGTCCCCAGCTCTGCTCCTGTAGTGGGTGGGAAAACCAACTCCTGCTGCTTAGCTGCTGTAATGGCCAAGGTGACATCCCAGCTGTGCCACTGCTCCATGAGGCAGAAACCATCCAGTCTTTTGTCAGTTCACTTCTCTCAAGCTTGGAGACTTTGCAGCCACTGGACCAAGTGTTTTTCCTCCAGGAACTCTTCCCCCCATCTCCCCCTTGCTTAAAAAAGAAACATACAAATGTTTTTATAAGTAGTGATTATGGGTGGAAGAGACGAAAATGGGTCTTGCACTCGGCAATGGATGTTTGCTGCATTTCCCAGACAGCTGGGACCACTATGAGCTCACCAGAAATGCACAGAGTGATACCTCTGGGCCCATGCTTGAAACAAGTGTATGGAAGGTACCTGGCAGTAATACTCTGGTCTTTCTTGTGCAAGAGCTTATTTTTAACTTTGTTTCTTATGCAAAGACTGAAACAGCCAGGGTTATAATTTCAGGAAAGTAACATGCAAATTTAATGCAAAATGTCACCTTACGCTAACCAGTAATGTTTTTCTTCTGTGTAGAACATTTATTCTAATGGAAACAAATATTATACCCAAAACAAGTATTAGCCAAGAATTTGTCACTATGACATTCAGCAAATGCTCTTTCTCCTGACTTGTCTGTACCTCTGACAGAAGAGTTTACTGCAGGTCAAATGCTGCAAAATGGTCCGTCTGAAGAGATTGCTGAATTATAATTTGGTCTCTACCTTCTCACATTTTTTTCATCATTTCCCTTCCAATAAACTTTGCTTTTCAAGGGACTGCATCCAAGCCATAGGTATGAATTCTCTGTTCAAAATATTAAATTTACAAAAGGTTGGTCTGTCTAAATTTTCATCTGCAGTAGCTGAACACGTTTAGCTGAATGCCAGGAAAGTAGAAATAGTTGGTAATTGGATTGTTTCCACTCAGGGAGATGAAAGAAAAGGTCATGTAACCTTACCTGACTGCTTACAGAGCTCAAGCAGCAAGATACACAGATATAAAAGAAATAAGAAACTCCCAGCCCCGCTCAGTGTAAATAACTCACACGAGCACATCATTCAGCATGCTTATGAAATCATTTCAGCCAACAATTTTGATGAACCTATTTGTTTTAGAAATCATAATTGGTTCGTGATTCAAGAAGGAGCTGAATTCCTTAAAATAAAATAAATTGCTCCTAGGAAATCATTTGACCAGTTCTAGCAGGACAAAACCAGGTTAAGGCCTTTCACATAGTATTCTGCCGCCTGAAAACCCATAACAGAAATGTGTTTTTCATTTTCCTAATTGAATTTAATAAGGAACTTTTCATCATTAAGTATTGTAATTGCATGTACTTTATGATGCCATTACATATATTTACACAAATTAAGTTATTTGATATAATTACATTATTGTTCAGGATGCATTTTAAAAATGGGCAAAATAGAAAGCAACAATGCTAAAATGACATTACAAAATGTTACAGCAAAATTCCAATGTAATATAACTATTGTTCAATCACTATATGAGAGTATAAAAGATAAATCAATTTTAAAAATTAAGGCTAATCTCTATTGTTGGTTTTCATTGATGTTAATCAGAAATAATGGCACTGAAGCTACCATCCAGAACATCTAATAGTACAGTGCAGGGCTGGAAAAAGGGAATTGTGCTTAAATGACACAAGAAGAAAAGTGGGATATTTGAAATAGCTTTGCATAAATACCACTGTGCATTTTCTTTCTTCAAAATTTTCAGTATGAAAACCAGTGGTTCACTTAAAAAATAAATGATGATAGACCTGACCTAATAGGTTTTGAGTTTGTCATTGGAGGCACAAGCATGCCACATTCATAGCAGTCCTGCCTGGCTTTCCCAAACTGGTGGTTTCCACTGGACCTCCCAAGCAGAGCAAAGGAAGCAAATTATTTAAAAAATTCAAGTTTCGCTCATTTCTGTCAGCCAAGATTGCAAAAATGTTTTTGATTTTATGAAATGAACATGACTTCGTAGGGATTCGGTTAGAGCAGTTAGATTCACTTACTGCAATAAACTACTGGAGGTTTGTATCTGGATGGTGGCAAAACAGAGCAAGAAGCTACAAATATGAACCTGTCCAGATTTTGCCAATTGCTTGGGCCAGATGAAAATCTCATCATATTGGCAGCAATATTCTTCCAGAATCTTACCAAATCCTACCAGACAAAAATTCATTAGCTGTGGATTGAACAGGCAGTGCTGTAGCACAAGAGGGTGACATTTTAAATCTCCTGTTATATTAAGCTGAGGCAGAGTCAGCCATGTGAATTGTGTTGCAGCATTCACTCGCATTTTTATTTGTGAACTTTTAGAAAGACATGATCTGCAGAGATGCTCAAATCTGATGAGATTATAAGTCTCCATTTGTGCAAGATTTTTTGTGGCTGTAAAAGCTTGTTAAATGTAGAGGCAGTCTGTTATTCTCGTGAAGAGTATCTCTGCGATGCTGCTGTGGACATTGATCTTGCAATACCCATGATTTTAGCCTTAGCTCACAGTACAACCACTGACAAAGCTGACACAGACACTAGAAAGCTGTTCCTTCGAATATTTTGGGGGGTAAACTGCTTTTTATTAATATGTAGTTATGATTATTTAAATCAATGTAGGCATGGGTGTTTTAACTCTGTAAGTAGTGGTTGAGGTTCCTAACACCACATGTATATTTTTAAATAATTAGGCTTGGCAATTTCAAGGAAGGTGATAGGAAGTACCATCCTTAAAAAAAAAAAAAAAAAAAAAAAAAGTTAATTCTTAATTCTACTAATTTTGGAGTTCTAATAGGCTTTTGACTCTTTTGAGCCTGAGCCTTGAGTCTCAGCAGTGTTGACCGTGTAAAAAATATCCCTATATTAATGAAAATGTGTTATCTACCCCTTTGGAAGTTGTACTGCATTGAGGTGACCAGGAGCACTACATCCCACAGAAAAATAAAAAAAAATTCAAGGTTCAGGGACAAATGTTTCCTTTACACTGACTGATGTAGTTTCTTGAGAGACCACAGTATATCTTGAGTATGCATGGAAAGGCTTCTTTTTAGTGGTGGGAATGTCCTCAGCAGAAATGTATCCTGGAGAAAATGGGAGCATCTGCGATTGTGGAGGGTTGCTGAAATCCATGTACCAATGGCTGCATATTCCACTCTCTTCTGGGCTGGCTGTGTGGGAAGCAGACACAGGAGGAGAGAATGAATGCAGAGATTTCCCCTGAGAAAGGTGTAAGATCTGCCTTGGCATTTCACAGGTTCAAAGGACCATTGCAAAACAGATTCAAATGGTGAAGCAGATTGGAAAAGGTCGCTATGGAGAAGTCTGGATGGGAAAGTGGCGTGGCGAAAAGGTAGCAGTGAAAGTGTTTTTTACTACAGAGGAGGCCAGCTGGTTCAGAGAAACAGAAATCTACCAGACTGTCCTGATGAGGCATGAAAATATTCTTGGTGAGTGAAGTGAAAGAATTATTTGATCGTGAACAGGTTTTTAAGATTAGCAATTTTGTATTTGCTGTTATCTGATGTCCTTTACGATGTGCTTTGTTTCCCTCTGTGCTCTGCAATTAGCCACCCTGTGCTTTTCAAATGAAAGTTGTTTAAAGGATTACTGAAACATAAATAAAAGTTTAAAAATAATGGGATTTGGAGGTTGTTATTCCAAACACAACATGTCTATTTCAGCCACTGGTATATCCATATCTGGGCTTCTGAAAGTATATTAAAGGCTAGAGGTGAGGCACAGTTGTATGGAAGTAAGATGAAAGGAATTAAATATGTTATTAAAACAAAACTACTGAAATGGATGACAGTCCAGAGTTCTGAGCAGTCAAAAAAAAAAAAACCAAAATAAACATGAGAAGTATTAATTTGAAAATATACTTTTTTTTTTTTCCTTCTTTTTGAAGGATTCATTGCTGCAGATATTAAAGGTACAGGATCTTGGACCCAGCTGTATCTTATCACTGACTACCATGAGAACGGCTCACTTTATGATTATCTAAAATCTACTACCTTGGACACAAAAGCCATGCTGAAACTGGCTTACTCCTCTGTCAGTGGCTTGTGCCACCTGCACACTGAGATCTTCAGTACTCAGGGCAAACCTGCTATTGCCCACCGTGACCTAAAGAGTAAGAATATCCTGGTGAAAAAGAATGGCACCTGCTGTATAGCAGATTTGGGCTTGGCTGTTAAATTTATCAGGTGAGTGAAAGTGAGGGGGCTGAGGAGAAGTTAATAAATCAGTGCAAAAGTTTCCTGATTTGTTGACTGGGTGTGCACATGTGAGCAAGCACCTGCAGAGTGTGTGCACACCTGGGCTCTGCTCATCTGTGTGTGAGGTTACCTGTGTGGGGGAGAATGTCATGTCAGCACCTCATGCAGGTGTATAAGTAGTCGCTTTTTGATTATTTTAGCACATTAACTGTGTTTGTATAAAGGTTCAGTTTTCATCACTCCGTCCTCTATAGCCACACCAGTATTGCTGGCACACAATGAAAGGATGTAGCACTGACAGGTTGAAGTCACATCACTGAGCTTGTAACTGAAGCATTCAGCTTGTCTGATCCCATGAAAATTTACTCTCAACTTAGAGAGAAAAATACTAATAATTTGTACAAGTTACTAACTAGGATTTATGGAAAAGGACCCCATTTGGGCTGCCTTTTGTTTCATTTCCTACAAATCAAATTGCTGAAGTACAGATTTGATTTTTGAAATGGCTTTTAAATTTGATTTTAAAAAATGGTTGTATGTTTAAGCAGCCTAGAAAGAGCAGACGAGTAGAACTTACTCACTCCTGGGAGTCATAAGGAGACATTGCTCTCTGACAGCTCTGTTCAAAAGGAGATTGAGCTCTCAGTGGTGGTGCTGGTGGTGGAGGTGCTTGTTCTGAAGTTTCTGACTTTTCTGTACACAGAAATCTGTCCAGCATACATAGACTGAAGGTTTCCATTTTGCAGGTTAGCTTTGAAACCATGCACTCCCTGGAGTATTAAAAAAAAAATTAATCAGGAATTCTATACAAATATTCGACTGAAATTATTCAGAGTGAAAGGAAAGGCAGGTTTTATGTTCTCTTCTTACTGTTCACTTACCTACCAGGTTCCTTGGTGAGGCATTTCCTTTATGAGCCTGACCTTTCTTCAGGAGACAAGAAAGGAATATTTTTACTTTGAGGAACAGAGGCCTAGAAAACAACTACTTGAAAGTAACACTATTTAAAAGTTTTGGGGAAGAAATTCACCCTTTGCAGGTGTACTTTGCCTGGCAAATACCGAGCAGCACACTGCTTAGCTGTGAATGAAGAAGAGCTAGGAATTACCAAGTGCTGTTACAAAAGGAGGTGAAATACAGATTTTTCACACTCCAGATGGAATTTACGTTATGTGCTTGGCTTGTTTTCATACTGAATCCTTCCTCAGACAGCATTTCTCATGCAACAACAGGAGAAAATAGTTGGGAGGGGTATGCTCTGCTGAAGCTAATGATTCTAGTAAAATTCTTTATGTTTCCATTCCATTTGAAATATTGTAAGATAGTGCAGATCACTGGATTTATGTTACATTGTTGGAGGTGTACAGTAGTGCCACTAGCATATGTATGATTTAATGACTGTGTAGGTGACTGGTTGTACCACAGACTCAACTTGTCTTCATATCAGAAGGTGAAAAAAATTGCTGTACATGAAGAAAACTACAGAAATACAATTATTCTGTGAGTTTCTGTTGTATCTATCATATTTAAAATACATAGATTTTGAAGTGAAGAAAGGAAAACAGACCTTTTTAAGCAAACCAGAATATATACCATATATTAAACTTTTAAATATATTGAAATTGATGTAGCTGAATCTGAGTTAAGAAAAACAAGAAGCCATTCACATAATTAATGGGAATTTTTTTCCTGTATGTTGTCTCTTCTGGTCAATGTGTGAGGTGTGACACATTTGCTTAGATGTTTTTATGCATTTATCTCTCTGTGTCTGCATATCTTGATGTGTAAAGGTTGGAAGGGATCAAACATAATGCATGCAAAAACATAATAGTTAGATTCATCTGTCTTGCAGATCTGATTTGCTACAGCTAAGAGATACTGCTTCAGCTACTTAGTATCCCTCATTAATTGCAGAGACTGAAGCATTAGGTGGTGGTGTATTTTAAGAAAACAGCGTTTAATGAAGATTTGATTGTTATCACTAACATTAGAGCTCCGGCTAATGCTAATGAAATCTCACAAATGTTACAGCATCCCTGTTGAGTCTTATCTCCATTGTGGTTCTGCATTTGAATGCCTAACATAGCCTCAGGCGGGTCAGCCTTTTAAGGAGGGTTGCCTTCACACTAAGAGGCTTTTCTTGTAAGAATTGTTCTAAGATTATGCATTACTTTTGACCTTGTTTGAGAGTGGATGTGGTGTGGATTTACTACTTCTTCCATCCAAATTGCTTTATTTTCAAGCCACTTTACTGCATGTTTGATGTCCTTTTTTTCTCCTTCTTTTTCTTTTAGTGATACAAATGAGGTAGACATCCCTCCAAATACCCGTGTAGGAACAAAACGTTATATGCCTCCTGAGGTGCTGGATGAAAGCTTGAATAGAAATCACTTTCAGTCCTACATCATGGCTGATATGTACAGTTTTGGACTCATCCTTTGGGAGATAGCAAGGAGATGTGTTTCAGGAGGTAAAGAGCTGGGAGATCACTTTTAATTGTGTCAGTAAACTTAGAGCCTTCCATTACACCTTTTTCTCTGGGTAATTGTTTTTACAGTAATAAACAAAAGTGGGTAAACCATACAGGCAACTCTCTTAATATCTGTTCTCTTGTTGAAACTTATTTTAAAGCATCAGTCAGTGCTATTTCAACAGCAGAGATTTAGACTGTATTTAAATGGCTCATTTGAAGGCAGCTGGTGCCTGCACTGAGGAAGTGTGGAACTCATTTGGGGACCTTTTCTAAAGGTATCACGTTTCTGCTGGACTGAACACCTTATTTAGCAGAAATAAAATACTGATATCTTAGTTTAGTTAAGAGTTAAATGAAAGGAGGACCAACAATTCAGGGATTGATGTTCTACTCTATGAAATAAATAATCTGTTTAGAAGAAAAGTAGCAAAACACCAGAGGGAAGTGGCACTTATTACATCATTGTCATACCAGTGATGTGCTTCATTTCCCTCTTTCTGCATGTAGAGCTCACTGTAGTGCAGAAGTGATGGATATTGTTACCTCTCTATTGCCACTGAGAAAGTTAAATGCAGAGATATGACTTGGTTGCAGTTCTGTGCCAGTTTGGTGGTAAGAGTAGAGCATGTCTCTCTTGGGTCTCTGCTACCTTCAGCATACCTTATGGGTCTTTATATCCTGCAGTATCTTGCTGACTGCTCACCCTAGAGAAACTGAATGTTGCCAGTAAGTAGCAGGATCCCTGTGTTTAAAAGCGGTGACATGCATTGCAGTGTTGTGAGGTGAAATCTGTAATATTTTTGTCATTGTTGCTATGCACAAAGAATGGTACCTTGCCATGTTCTGAAAAGGCACAGAAATGCCCTTCAGTATTTTCCAGGTCCACTGATAAGGAGGAGACCTAACTAAAGGTTAATTATCTCTCAGATTACTCTGTTACAGACCCTATGCTAATAACTCTTTCTGTGAGAATTTACTGGAGATTGCTGGACTGGACAGCAGTGGTAGAAACTGTCTCACTTGGCAAGTTACCACACTTTTGGATTAAGATACCTGGCCAGTCTTTATACAGCAATGATTACATTGGAACTTGACTGTGGAATAAACTTCTAGACTTTTTAGGGGCAGTACACCCAACTGTTAGACAGTATGGCCAATCTGTTATAAAATGAGAGGGGAGGAAGGGAGTGGAAGATTTTTCTGCAAGTGACAAGCAGCTAATTGCTTCTTTCAGGAATAGTTGAAGAATACCAGCTTCCGTACCACGACCTTGTGCCCAGCGACCCCTCATACGAGGACATGCGGGAGATCGTGTGCATCAAGAGACTACGCCCCTCCTTTCCCAACAGATGGAGCAGTGATGAGGTACCTCCCATCCCTCCTAGCATGCAGTCTGTGCTTGTAATCAGAGTTAGTGAGTGAGATTGACCCAATTCTGCATCATTTTGAGAGAGGAGGATATTTACCGCTGGTGCTGCCATTTGGGAATAGCAGCATGTAGATGAATAGTCTGTGAGGAGACGAAAGATTTAGGTGGCATGAGATTTGTGAGTGTGAGGGGAAAAAAACAGCCTCCCTGGGCTGCTTGAGGTCTTGTGCAACAACCGGTGTTTGTACCTGCCTCATCTTCTCCCTAGCCAAATCCCTCTGAGGCTTCAGAGTGGGGCTGGAAACACTGGAGGAAGGAGTATCAGTTCCCAAAATGGCTTTTGTGTGGTGGTACTCAGTGTTTGGTTTGCTACCACACATATCAAGGACCAGGGAGGTTTATTGCAACAGCTGCTCTTGATTAATTGGTTAGCATCCTTGGTAATCCCACCCCGGGCATTCCAGCAATAAAAGGTCAATTTTTTACTACATAGTACTTGTGTATTACCAAAAATGCATTTATAAAAATGTGCGTTAATTTAGATGAAACGCATTTGCCTGGTCTGGGCAGTGCTGTTGGTGTTTATCTGTAATGCCTTTCAGGGTCTGCACTGCCCTTAGAAAAGACCTTTTCCCTTCAGTTTTTCAGCACTGCTGTTCCACTGACCCCGGTGGGATTTTGTCCCCCACTTCTCTCCACAGTGCCTACGGCAGATGGGGAAGCTGATGATGGAGTGCTGGGCTCACAGCCCTGCCTCCCGCCTCACAGCCCTGCGCGTCAAGAAAACACTTGCCAAAATGTCAGAGTCCCAGGACATTAAACTCTGACTCTGCCAGAGGCAGTGCTGCTGGAGGCCCCTGGAAATGGACTTTCTTGTGCAGGCAGAAGTCCTGAAGATGTATCAGAAGTCTTTGCTAAGTACCTTGAATGGAGGAGTCACGCTTAAGAGCGGCTGTGAGTTTTTGAGGAGACTATCCATTGAAAAAATCACCTGAATTTTGACATGCAAGATTGAAGAGGCTTGTCTGCCCTTGTTTACATGGGGAAATACAGTTTTAGTAACTGGTTTAAGATTATGCATGTTGCTTTCCATGAAAGCCACTTATTATTTTATTATTATTATTGTTATTATTATTATTTTGATTGTTTAAAAAGATACTGCTTTAAATTTTATGAAAATAAAACTTTTGAGTTAGAAGTAAAAAAAGATGTATATTGTTACATTTGTAAAAAGTGGAGGAAACTGCTGAAAATGAAAGCAAACCAACTTTTTCATTTCCAAAAAGATTATTGCACTCCAGCATTAAAAAAAAAAAAAAAAAAAAAGGTGAGTGGATCTGTGTAGCTCAGAGGAGCCTGCCTTAAAAGCCACCTATTTGTGGAGGTAACTTTCCAAACACTGTGTGTGCAAGTGATTCTCAGAGTACACAGATGGAGCCCAATTGCATCCCTGCCATCCCAGTTGGTGTGGGTGGCTTGTCCCAGGGGAGGTCATGCTTCCTTTAAAATACTTGGGAGCTGTATGAATATGGTTTGGTGTGACTTGTTTAAAGGAGATCTTCATGTTTCCTGGAAACCTGATGGGAATAGCACCACAATGATAAACAAGTACCCTTTTTCTTGGCTTTCTTCCCCCCTTCCTTTTCCCCCACTGCAAAATAAAGTATTTTGTGTGGGAGTTGAAATGAAGTACACACTTGAATCTGCTGGGTAATTTGAAACTTCTAGGACCCACAAACAACCACTGTTTAAGAGGAAATTCCTTGTGAGAAGGAATTATTAACTTGCTTTTTCATTTGTGTAAAAGTGAGGTGTTTATCTACAACCACAGCTGAGAAAAAAATATATCTATGTTGCCTTTTTTAAGGGCAAGTGAAAAATCTCAAAAGCGCCCATTTCTGGGATGGCAATAAATTTTTTTTGAGTGTGAGGAGACCTGGTGCCTTGAGGCTGTAGTAGGAGTGACAGGGAGGGAGGGTAGGATACTTTAGGTGGGTGGTGAGAGTTGGGAGCCATGGGCAGCAGGGGGTACCTGCCTCCAGCACTTCTGCTGTAGTGAGAGACACCACAAACTGCACAAACTGAACAATTTGCTCAAGCTTTATCTGCATTAATATTTTGTGTGCCCTTCCAGCAGCCTCCACACCTCTGTCAGCTGCTGCCAGGCTGGGGCTGTGGAGCAGTGTGGTTCCCAGCAAGAGGAGCTGTCAGGGAGAAAGGCAGTGGGAAATGTATTTACTATCTTACCCTGTTCCTCCTTCCTGAGTCTGCAGTAGTCGTAGCAATGCTAATGGTTCAGAAAGGGAAATGAGAGGTGAAATATACCCTGGGAAGTGTTTCCTTTGGAAAGGTTCTGTTCTTCGTCTGATTACCAAAGCTGAGCTGCATGGGAGTTACTGGTTTACCCTTTTTTACCCTTCATTTGTTTTAAAAAAATTTCCTGCCGGCCTATGTTGTTTTATTAGATGGTGTTCAGCTTAATTTTGAAATAAGTCCTTACAAATGTTGCTTTGATTATGCTAAGCCTATTTCAGAACTGAAATAATTGCCATGCAGGATTTAGCCTCAGCACTTCTGTAATGTTTTTTTTTTGGTTTTTTTTTTTTTTTTTCTTTTTGGACAAAACTGATTTATTTGTGGTAGGTAGGTGTATAATTGGGGTTTAGCTTAACAGCTCCCTGAAGGTATTTCTAGCTGGAAAAATTACCATTTTGTACTTTCAAGCTAACAGAGAAAAATGCACGGTTCAAGAGAACCAGCAAGACCTCCATGATGATAGGTGTTAAAAAGCTTAATCAGAAGTTTTGTGTTCATTAGAGTGCATTTTCTGCAGTGCAGTTTCCCTGCCTGGACCCAAATTTACCAAGCAATACAAAAAGAAAATCTCTGAGAGTTAATAATACACTTGACCCCAGAGGGGTGACAGTGGTTTCCCCATCCTTAAAAAGTGCTTGTAAGGCTGAGAATGGAGTTTGCTCCGCTCCTTGGCCACCTTGGCCTTGAGATTTGTGGGCCAAATTGGGGACAACCCAGCCTCTTTTTAACTTTTTTGTCTTTGTGAATGGAGACATTGGTTTCCAGTCTCATTTCTTCCCATAAAAGCCAGCACACCCTGTGGAACCGAGATTTCTCAGCTCCAAAGAAGCGCATGGGACCTGCAGGTCCCAGGTTGCAAAGCAAGGATGCTTTCTTCCTGCCTGTTTAGGTGGGCTTCACCTCTACCTTCCTCAAATAGATTTTTTTTTTTTTTTTTTTAATTAGCAGGGCTCTCTCCCCAGGAGTGTTTTGGAGGGTGCTTTGCCAGCTGGGAGCACGAGGCATGCAATGAATGTCCCTGGCACCTGCCATCAGTGTGTTGCAGGAGAAAGGGCCAGTCATTGGTTTCCTGAGCAAATCTTACCTTTTTTTGGTCCAGAAGAAAAGAGTCTAAGATATTGGTTGATAGATCACATAAAGTGTGTATGTTAAATGTTCAAGTTTATGTGTTTTTATATATATAAATATATATATATATATATTCAGTTGCAAGTCTGGAATAGCTCCAGTATGTGGATTAAGAGTAAACTATTATGGATGAAAAAGCACTAAATAAAACATAATATTTATTTATGAAAATGCATAAATGACAAATCACTGCAACGGTGCTGTATAGGAAAATATATAAATATATAAATATATATATATATGAGGAGACACACAATGAGAAAGCAAACAGTCTGTGGTTGTGTAACTAGTGCCTGTCTATTTTCTCCCAAGACCAGATTTTGTCCCTCAAATCTCCTGTCCACTGTAATCTATTGTGAAGGGCTATTCCTAAGGCCAAAAAAGAGCCTAAGGCAAGTGTGGAGGTGTTTTGTTCGAGCACTGTGACATTTGAGTCAGAATGCCCAAATGAGTGACTCCCTGCAACACTCAGCGTGTCATTATTAAGGTTTCAGCACCTGCAGTGACTGCAGGTTAGTCTGTTTATTTTGCCAGGTGTGGCCTTTTAATGTCACTTCCATATTTTGGTAGCTTCAAAGGGCACATTGATGAGGGCTTGGTAAAGGTTATTTTGGCCTCAATGCCCACGGGTCTAGAAATCCACTTTTCAAATGTAAATCATTCAAGGAAGTGTATCTTAGTTTCTTACTGGCATAGGTGAGATGGCATATATAAGTGGAAAAAGAAAAGATGCCATCTAGCAACTGCTATTCTTTCTCTAGCACAAAGTTATTTCTATTAAAGAAAAGGTTGTCAATGTAGAGACTAAGAAACTAATTTGTGTTCTTTTTTGAGAACCAGTGCCTTATTAAACCTGTAAATACTGTAATTAGAAAACCTGGGGAACAAACTGTGTTATGTTGTATTTGTTCGAATTGTATATGGTTGTTTTAACATTCCCCCCAATAAAATTGTTTCCATCCCCCCCTGACAGAGATTGCTATTTCCTTTTCATGTGCTTGAAAAGCATTATCTTTTTGTTTAATTTCCCTGGCTAGATTATTTTGACTGTGCCTCATTTTATTTATTTTATTTTTATAAGATTTTTTCATCTGAACAAACAAGTAAACAGCAATATGTTGCATATGTTTCCACTGGCATAAAAAAGCATCACTCCTTTCACAAGTCAGTGAAGAGAAAAATAGTAATTAAAATAGTGTTATCACTAATAGAGCAGTTGCTCATGTTTTGTGGCTGATTATGTAAATCTATTGGAACTCGGTATTAGCATAATATTTTTATGCACTCCCCCCCTTCATTCTGCCACATCTTTATGAGTATTTTTGACTCCTATTTTTAATAGCACAAGAGGAACAGGAATCATCTCTGCACAGACTGAAGCAAGAATTCCCAGCCCCATGTATCAGGTGAAAAAGTTTCAGCCCAAATACCTAGCATCAGCTGAAAATGTAATTGTTTAATGCTGAGACATGGAGAAATGTATCTCTACATCTAGTGAGGTATTTCTGGGAATTTGTACTTAAAGCTGGAGCACTATTTTCATTCTGCAGTGCGGTTTTGCAGATCTAGCTCAGTGTTTCCTAATGTTTAATTGCCTTGGTGGTTATTTTCAGAGAAGTGTGTAAATAATAGCAATTTTCCCTTGAGCTGCACAGCCCCTGCAGCCCTCCTGCTTTGTCGCAGACTGTCTGTGCTCAGTGGCATTGTAGTTATTCTGCAGCAGCCCCCTTGACTTGGCCACATTGAGGTGACAAAGCCCTGTGCTTGCTGCACATTGCCCCTGGCATGCCACTGAATCCCACAGTTCTTATGTACAGAAACATTTCTTCTAAGGAGATTTTTTTTCTTTTTTTTTTTTCTTTTTTAAATAAACTAAATAAAAGACTCCACTTCTGAGCTTCCAGGAACTAAACAATTGAACACAAGGTAGTTGCGTTTTTGTTTTTTTTTTCCAGTTGCTTATAAATATAATTTATTACCTGTTTAAAAATTCTTTCTTACACTTTGTACATGTCAGGCTGACAGAATAAATGCAGGCATTTACAAACAGAGGGAAGGAGAAAAAAGGGAGGGGGGTAAGAGGCACACTCAGAACTAGTAAACCACACCTCCACTGTACAGCAATACAAATAATGCAATGGCTAGCACTTCTCCTGTAGTAAGTCAGTCTTTAGAAAAGGAATTGCATAGAAGATACAGCAATAGGGAAATCAAAACCAAAAGAGTTCTCCAGATCTGAATAGCAAAGAAAACAAATCCCATTAACCCCGGTGACATGGGAACAGAAGGGAGATATGTGATACACCTGGGTCATACAGATGTTTCTTTTCTTTTTCTATGGGCCCTCCTTTACTTTGGAAAGGTAGTGAATATACCCTTTTTTATTGGTTTTTGGTTTTGTTTTTTTTTTTCTCTTCAACAATAACAGAACATATGTTAGCAAAAAAGTCTACCACACAGATGTGTGAAAACAGTGATGACACAACTACTCTGTCTCAGCTGTTTCACACACCCTGGATTGTTGGCTCTCGGCTCGGGTGTTTTTGCAAGGTACCTTGAAAAATCTGCAGGGAGAAGAGTGTTTTGCCTCTCCTTCCTAATTTTGTTTACTTTCCAGACCAATTTTTCTTTTTATTTGAATTGTGCTAGCCCCCAAATTTACTAGCAAGGGGTAGTCAGAGCCAGCTGGCAGCAGTGAAAGAAGCTGTGGGACCCGTGCAAGCTTTTCTCCTCTCAGGGCTCTTGTCCTATCACTGCTGTGGGAGGACCCTCCTGATGACATCCCACTTACAGGCATCCCGAAGCTATCACCTGCCATGACATGGGATGCTTTGGGAGCAGCGGGCAGGCCCAGGATGCAGCACACGTAGCAATTAATCTCTTTGTCAGCAGTCAAGGAGACTGAACCACTAATAAATACATTTAACCAGCACCACAGAAAACATGAAATACCTATTTGGGATAGAAGTTTGTGAGAACTCCGGATTAATGTTGCTTTTTTTGTACAGACAGTTTATCAAAGGACTTTCAGATGAGGGATTTTCAGATTTCAGGGAGCAGGGATCAAGTTTAAAGGACAAATAAGTAAATAATCTAAGTGCTCCTATTCAAGCAAGGAGCCTGACCTACCAAACTTGTGGTTTTAGTTCAAGGCCAATTCCAGTTACATGCCAGTTATTACTCCGATGGCTTTTGACTACTACTTATTTGACCTTGCAGTGATGGTACAGCACTGAATTTTCACCTTTACTTTCCTATTCAAAAGTTGGTAAAATAAGAGGATGCCCATACCTAACATGAGAGCTAAAAGTCTCCAGCAGGTATTGTCCTTTGTTTTCTCCTTGTTGTCTATATCTACACACACACACCTACTTTGCCTATCTGTCCCACTTCAAAGGATGTCTGAGATACGTGCTTCAGCATTTAAAAATCTGCAGTGCAGCTCGTTTATGGACTCAAGGATTCACACACAAGCTAGAAATGGATTGCAGTGGTGACCCCAAAGTCAGTAACTCATTAGAGTCCTTGTGGGAGAAGGGCCAAAGGTTTGGTTTCCATTCACAGACCGCTCGTGCCTTTGCACCACCTGATACTGACCAAGCCAGCCTGCAAACACTGAGTTACTTCATGGCCAGGTGAGAGCCAGAGGTCCTCTGACCTCTGAGTCCTGAAAAGACTTCTGAACACTCAGTAAGATAACTTACAAAGTGCCCTGGAAACAAGATTAAAAAACCCAAGCCAACCTCAACAAAATTATTGTGTTTAAAATTAACCTCAGAGCTGTGGTAACTACTTGGTAGAGCATACAAGGGTCTAAGGGCCCACCCACCCCTCCCTTCCCCACACCCCCTGCCCCCAAACGAAGAGGAAAAGGAGAACTGAAAAGAAACTATTGTAGGTAGCAATACAAGACATTAGGACACTGTCCACAATGACAGGCTTACAGCATGTAAATACATTTATTCTATATGTAAGCAACTGAAATAGCAGGAAACCCAAGGAATAGACATGTTTGGCTCTGTGGGTATTGCAGACTCCAACATGTCTCATGAGTGTCTGCATTTCTGCCAGCAAGACAGAAAAAAGTCTTGGTCTCCCAATAAAGCAAATCTTGACTGGAGACACCTTCACTGCTGCAAAATTTTCAAGATCCACTGAAACAGCACTTAGGTTTTGTACTGTTTAGCAAGACACAGTGGAGCAGTTGTGATCATAAATTTTGAAAAAAAAAAGCCCCAACCAAACCCCAGACTTACCCTATACACTGACAGTTACCTTTACAAGAACACAACACAAGAAGAACTGAAGAAAAAATAAAAGGTGGAAAAGGATTGCCTCTGATAAATGTTTCTTACTGGGAACTTAAAGGTTTTCCTTGAAGTCAGTAGATATTATATATATATATTTATATAATATATATACTATTTATAGCATTAGCAATCAACATGTAATGAAGAGATGGTGTGAAGAGCAGCAAAACTGCTCCAGTACAGAGCCAAAGGTGAACAACTAAAAGGAAGAGCATTTAAAAAAATAGTAATAACTGGAGGATGAGAAGCCTGCAGCCTTTTTTTCGTTTGATTGTTTTTTTCTCTTAAAGCAGATATGCTCACCTGACATAAAATCTTACAACAACTTTTAAGAGTCAGCTCTGCCTGCCAAACTCCTTTGTCAGAGCCACCCCACAGGAAGCTTTTCCCTGTGCGACGCTGCTGTGGCAGCAGCGACATGGTGGAGCTGGGGCTCAGCCCCACGAGATGGCACTGTGTCCATGCAATCCAGGCACAGGAACTGCTGCTGGGGTTTCTCCCACCAAAAAATAATATCCTCAACCCAGCTGGCTGCCCTTGCTGCCTGCCTGCTCTCCTTGGGGCAGAGGATGGGGATGGTGCTGTCAATGCCACCAGCCAGAGCCCTCTCCCACGGCGCACAGTGCCCTGCCACTGCCACTCCGCCAGAAAGAAAGAAAAAACGGAGCACAATTAATGCAGGGAAGTGTGAGGTGAGGTGAGGTGGGAGCTGCTGCTAGCAGCAGTGGTAAAGAATGGGTGCAGAGCTGCTGGGACGAGCTGTGGCTCTGAGGAGGAGCCTTCCCCTGGTTCTCCCGGCCCTGTCAGGGCTGAGGCAGCCCGAGGGGCTGTGCTGGGAGCCTGCAAAGGCCTGTGGAGCCCGTGCTGGGAAAATCACCCAGCCCATGATTGCAGCAGGGGATTGCGGGTGGTTTCTGAGCAGTCAGGGTGGAATAACAGCAGCTTCATCACCCAGTGGCAGGCATGCTGCTGCCCAAGTCATGTTCAGTGATGAAGGGTTACATTCTTCACCTCCAGCCACCTCTGTGGATGCTCCCCTTAATCAGAGTGTGCATTTTTCCTCGCAATAAATCCTATTTACTGTGATGCTGTGAAAGGAAAATGCCCCAAAACACTGTGAGAAAGTTGTTCATCTGCAAGTAGTTTCTCTTGCAGAAGGCACCAGAACGCAAGTCAGAGGGCTGGCCAAAGGACCATCAACTCATAGCATGCAGATAAATAGAAGAGACTTTGTGGCCCTGATCCTGGTTAAAAGGGTCAGGCACATGCTGCCCACCTAGAAAAAAACTGAGAGCTGGGGAGCAACACTTAGCCTGGGGATCAACCAACACAGACTGAGCTGAAAAGGCCAAAGAGTTTAAGGACAGTTCAGCTCCCCTACTTGCCTTGGAAGAGAAGTCAAGGAGGGACACATGGGAAAGGTGAAGAAGCACAAACTAAAACCCAACTGATTACACCTAAAGATGGCATGGGAGGGAGAAAACCTGAGACCTACCTTTAAGAGCCATTTTAGCCCTCTGAGGTAAGTAAAAGGTGTGGAGATAGGGCAGAGCTGAAAGTCCCAGTCCAACTTTTCAGAAGTTGAAAGCAAAATTTCAATTAGCATTGCAGTAGGCTGCATCAGATGCCCCAGGTGAAAAAAATGGTTGTTCATTGAGAGGATGCCCATGGCATCTCCACATTAAGAGAAGTGGGGCTTACACAAGCAAAATGCACACAGATGTTGAAAATTACAGTGCATGCCCTCTGGTCTCCAGTTTTGACTGAAATGCTGGTTTGCAAACTGCCTGCTTACCTCTTACAAGGAAGGGAACTCTTTGTGCTGGCTGTCTGATGGTCAATCAAAACCTAACTCACTGGTCAGGGAATTATAAGCAAAAAGCGACAAGACTATGGAAATGTCAAATGAAAAAAGAGGTCAGATTAAATTTTCTTTTCATTTTGACTGATGACATTTTCAGTTACCTTCAAAGGTGCAATCTGGAAAGCCCTGGGGAAAGCAAAACTAAAACCACAAAAGAGAACAAGCAGTCTTGGGAAGCGTTTGGAATGGTAATGCATATGTGGGCAGGGGCATGCATGTGTGCATAACAGCAATAACCAGGGCCTGGCTGGAAACCTGGAGTGGACAGGCTGGGGCAGAAAAACCTTTCTGTGCCAGACATAAATGACAGCTCAGTCGGGCAGTAAAACTATTGCAATCCTATGTGCTGTCAAAGCCAGAATTTTCACTGAACAGAACAAAATGCATTTGCAGTGACAACCAATTTTGGTTTGTTCCTTCTGCAAAGTTCTCACCTCACCTGTTTCGTGAGAGTTGTAGAGGGACAAGTGTTCCCTGGCCAGCCATCAAGGACTGCACCGCCCTGCCCAGGCAGTGGTGGTGGCAGGAGCAGCAAAGGCAGCAAACTGCAGCACACAGGATTTCAACTTCACCACTCCACTGCCCTGCACTGGCCCACGGAACACAGGCTTCCCTGGCTGCAGCAGTGCCTGGAATATCCATGGAGATCTGCCAAGTGCATCTCACACAGAATTGACCCCAGACCAGCAGAGGGCTGAGCTGTCAGCAGCCTGGCACAGCAACCATTACTGGAGCTGGTGGGTTTCAGTGAGACCTGCAGCTCTGTGGGGAACTGCTGGCTCTTAGAATGCTACAAAACAAAGCAAAATTTATGGAGGCCCACCTTGGATGCATAAATCAGGTGGAAGATGTCACTGCCATATGCTGTCCATATGCTTGCGCCATCTCTGGTTCACAGTCACCTCAGGACAGGACTGCTCCTTGGAGCAACCTGGAGCCACCAGGGTGGTGCAAAATGTGCCAGGGTCAGACACTTGGTGGGTGAAGACCAGCAGATTACCAAATTATGCTGCCTTAGCACTGGGCATAGAACACAGCAATGCTAACACAACATGAGCAGCCTCAGAGGGCCAGCAGAGGACTTCGGAGGAAGGAGTACGATGACAAATGGAAGGACAGACAGCATAGAGAGGGACGTGTCTTAAAAGACCTTCAGGAAGGGGACAACAGGTTCCATAAAACCAGTCATTATTCATTCTGCTGCTGACAATATTAGAAATAAAGTAATATGGCAATAATAATAGTCATTATAATCCTTGCACTAGATACTAATCAGTCAATAACTATCATAGCAACTTCTTTTTTTTATTTTTTTCTGGGTTTCTCCCCCTCCCCTCCAACCACTCTGAATTGCATATCTGGCCCCTCATATAGCAAAGGGGTGGAAAGGGTGTGAATTGAAAATTAACTCAGATTCTTCATTCCCCACTGTCTTAGAGCTATTCTCCACACAGGCTCAGTGGGACTGTCTTGGGGAAGAAAGGGAACATTTTGCATGTTCCTGCTTATCAGCCAGAGTACCTGCTTTCCAGATGCACACACGGATTTTCTTGGTTTGTTTTTTTTTTTTACAAGTAGGTCTAGGAAACAGAACAATGACAGGAGAATCATTGTGAGACAACCAATGTGCAGAATTGTAGCCAAAATCTGAATTCACCAGAAACCAATAAGCTGAAATAGCCACAACCAACTGTCCATAGCCTTGTCTACAATGCCTTTAAACAAAAAATATAAAGAGCCATGGACAGTTTCCTTACCCCTGTCCAGAATTTTATGTAAACAACATCCATAGAAACTGGGATTGTTAAGAAAGTTTATCCATATATCTGGATAGCAATAAAAAGCGTTTCCTAGGAAACTGTAAAAACCTGTACCAAGCAGTGTACAGCCAAGCCGAGAGGAACATTAGGTTGATTTATATTTTCAAGGTACAACTTTGCATGATCTCTTTCTGATCCTGTGATAATGTACAAGGAGAGCACGTGTGAAGGTCAGGGCTGGTTTTTTTGTTTGTTTGCTTGCTTTCTTCTCTGAAACGTCTCTTGTGTAACTCATTGGTCTGGGTTTTCATTTCAATTCTCGTTTGCAATAACAGGGCATTACCGCTCCCTGTGTCTGTCCTTCCTGGTCATGCCAAGGCTGCATTAGTAATTTCCTTCTGCTGCCAAAGAAACAACTGTTTCGTGTCTTCCCATTTCTTCAAGAACTGCTGCCAGCATGCTCAGGTTGCCATCAGGGAAATTCTGGGCTTCCCAGAGATCCAGGATCACCCCAGTAGGACTTGATTTCGTAGCAAAATAATTTAAGTACCTGCAATGAGCCAAAAGGAAACTCGTTGGTTTTGAGCTGCATAGAAACTACCTGAATTCATATGATTTCAACCCATCCCTGTTGTTGGTGCTGTCAAGGTGCTCATCCCCTGTCCAGTCAGCATGACCAGTGTGTCCATGTGCTTTCAGTGGGACTTTCACCGGGATGTTTTTGCACAAACCCTCCTCCCTAGGAGCTTCCCTGCCTGATTGTGTTGTAGAAACCCTGCTCACCTGTCCAGTTTCAGCTTGTGGGCCAGCATGCGCCAGTCGTGGCCTCTGGTCTGGGGAGCATCCAGGCTGCTGCACAGCTTCTGCCTTATCGGGTGGGGGATGCTGAAAGCGCTGGGCCCCACGATGGTGGTGATGGTGCCTGCTGAGTCCATGGGAGGGTAATCAACGCCAGTAGGTTCCTGAGATTGGAAAGACAGAAAAAAAGCCTGAACAACCCATCAATTTTCTTACTGAGTGAAGAGACAATTGTAGAACTACATCCTCTGAGACTCAGGGCTTTTATTTGCAGCCCTCTGTTAATCTAGTAAACACTAACATAAACATGTTAGTCCACTGGAGAGCAGAAATATTTATAATCAGCTTTGGGTAGACAAAAGGTTTTTTTCCCTCCTCTTTTTTTGAGGGTGAATATTACTATAGGTGGACAAAATGGCCAATTTAATTAAGCATTTTCCAGAAATAATGAAGGATGAGTCACTTAGACACATTTTGGAGCAAGTTGATACTACTAGAACAGAACTGGGATTTCCTGGCATGACTGATAAGACTCTCTTCCCAGCATCTTTCCCAAACCCCAGTGTCACACCGAGCCAGCACCAGGCTTGCATTACTGACATCTCTCTGGCAGTACCCAAGCTCTCTAAAGCCTCTAATGCTGTGCAGACCACAGCCAGACAGTCAATACCACCCCAGGCACGAGCTAAGCCCTCATCTTCATGTGACTTTGACTCTGGAAATAGATGGAGAGCATGTGCTCTGGGCAAGGGTGGGGTAGGTGGGGAGCAGGCATTGCCCCCTTTCCCCAAGACACGTGCTGTGCTCCAAGGCAGTGTGGCAGCAAGTGTTTCACGGGAAAAGTCATCCCCAAAGCCAGCTTTTCCCCTGCAGGTGTGGTGTTGATGCTCTTTGATGTGGTCCTCCCAGTTGGAGGGGTTCCCATGACACCACTGCTAACACCACTGGGAATAACAGCAATTGGCTCCTCTGGGCAAGGATTTTGTCTTCTCCTTGGCCTGGATGGATTTAGTGGCCACAGGCTTGGTAGCTGGTGGGAAGATGATAGCTGGTCTATTTGGATGGTTGGGTTTGTTTAGGAACAGTGAGGTCCTGCAGCGACCATGATGGAAAAAGAAGCAAACATGGCTGGTTCTGCCCTGCTCAGTCTACTTTACAATTTGGTATTCTTTTCTAGTAGAACTGGGGGAGCTGCTTCTCCTCCCCCTCTGCCAGATCACAGCCCCAGGCAGCCAGAAACACTCATGCTAAAGACTTGTCATTAAATATCAGTTTGTTTTCTCCTCTGTGAACTATCTTGTGGCTTCATGTCAAACCGGCTGTTGGGAAGGAGGTGTAATACCTGAAACAGTCTTAAAGCCAGGCAGCTCCTGGCTGAAACTGCAATCACAAATCCCCCAAGGATTTTGCTAGAGATGTTCACTGTTCTGTGCAATCTCTGATTTACTCCCCAAAAATATATTCAGAGATGGAAAGGGAAGAGCCAGTGTCCATGAGCAATGCACAGAATTAAATCTTCTGCCTCCACTCTTTTATCTACACCAATAAATATGATTTTTTTTTTTTTATTAAAGGCATGGCATTTTAGGCAATCACCCAAGAAAGGTTTACGCCACCCTGTAATGTCCTCAATTAACATGCTGAATGTGGCATCTGTACTTGGGTGCCAAGGCCCTGGATCACAGACTGCCTGTCCCAACCCCATTACACAACAGCCTGGCAGCAGGAACTGCCCAGGAGCCAGGACAATGACATGCCTGATGCTGGTGCTGCCTGCCGGCTCACCACGCTGGGAGGTCAGAAGTGGCAGTAGAGTGGTGGCAGTGACATTGCAGATAGATAATCTTTCTTTATATTCTGGGCCAAAGGATATGAGTGCTGCCCTGGCTCTCTAGGTGGCCTACAGCCCCAGGGGCTTCAGGATTGCTGCAGAAGGGGCTCAGGTATCTGAAGCATTGCCCCATGGTTCTTTTGTGTGAGTATCAATGGCACAAGATAAAAACAGGGCTTCAAAAATGAATCTTGTGAGACCTTTATCACAATTTTCCTCCTGCTTTGCAAATGCGCCTGTTTTGGCACTCACTGCATTTGTATTTTTGAAGTCACAGTGGTAGACACTGTATAAAGGCAGTATAAGAGAGTTTAATCTGCAGAAGTTTTACATCCTTTGGAGGGGACTAAAAAGAAAGCCCATCAAGGGAGGATGCAGGAAACTGTGTTACTGGATTTTTATCTCAGGGTAACAGTGGCAGAGAGACAGATGCAGCAATAAGGAAAGATGCCAGCAAAGTCCTTCAATGCCTAACTGCTAGCTGGATACCACTAGCATAACCCTAGAAGAAAATGTAAGGAGCTAGAGCTATGATTTCCTGATGCCTGGTTTGATGTCTTTATCAGAGGCATATCCAGAGGCATACATTGGTTTCCAAGTTGCAGTTATTACCCTTTCAGGTGATTACCCTTCCATAAAATCTTTGAGTTATAGGATTTTTCCCTAGCTGACCCTATATTCCAGCTCTTAGCAGCCCAAGGTCCTACAGTTCCTTGCGGGAGTTTGGGAATATCACAAGGTGTCAACAACAAGGGGCAATTTTGCAGAAGGCACCCTTGATCACAGTGGTATTATTCACTCCCTCTATTCAACCTTGTTGGATAGGATCACAGCACAAGACAAGAATATTATCCTGTTTGGGATCTATTACCAGGCCCTGTTACATAGAACCAGCTGAAGATGATTATAGTGTATACTTGCATTTCATTAAAGTTACTTTCAGTTCTTTCTCTTCTCTGGGAGGTTAAATTAGTGATTACCTCAGTGCAGCACTTATTACAATAATTGTTTATGATGCTTGTTTTACCATCTGTCCTTAATGCTGTGTAGTCCCCAGATGAATCTGTAACTTTACATCCACTAACCAAGCAGATGTTATAGGTAATGGTGCTCACTGTCAGAGCCCTGTTACACACAAGTAACTTTTGTCTCTTCTTACAGCCCTTCCCCAAGCCAGCCAACAGTGATTGCTGCCTGAGAGTCTGCTCCTCGTAGCTGCCAAGGGTACCAGGTATAAAACCCACCAGCACATACACTGAAGTCCGTGCCACTTCACACCTGAATTTGTTGCTCCATCTCAGCCCCAAGCTTGACTGTCCCATGGAGCAAAAATTCTCCAGGTGCTACACAGCATTAGCAAACTTATGGTAGTATTTCTTCTGGAAAATGTCAGCCATCAAAAGAAAAATTGCCAAAGACAAAAGTCAGGATTTGTAGTAGTAGCAAAATATGAGCAGAAAGTTTACTGCAACCAGACCATCTGATATTTCCTATTGCAAAGCAAGTATTAACGTGGGATCAGAGGGGAGTGGCTCATGGAAGACGCAGCACTGACATTTTCCTATTCTCTTTTCTCTCTTTCCAGGGAACTATCATGGACTGCCAAGGAAACAGGACTAAAAGAGCTTCATGAGATGTTTTAGGGAGTGGTAGGCAAAGAGCTCCTCCAGATAGACACAGAAAGGCAGCACTAGCAGAGAGAGACTAAAGTTGCACTCCTCCCACCCTTGAAGGAGAGATGCTTCCTTCCAGATGAGAGAAACCAAGGAAAAATGCAACAGGAGAGACAAAGAAATGACTTAATCTATTCTTTATGTCCATACCAGCAGTCAGGAACAAAATGGGAAGCACTAAAGAGGTCCCAATGGGAAAAGTTTTACTTTCTTAGCTGTCCTATATTCCTGCAGTTGGGTAGAAAAACACACAAATGTCATTTACCTCTGAGACAGAGCAGTTAAGCTGGAAGATCTGTCCTTCTCCTTCGACCTGCCGCACACACAGTTTGCACACCAGCTCCTGGGTATTCAGACTGAACCTTTCCAGTGTGAAGGTGCAGTGCAGGTTCCTCTGACAGCCACTCCAGATGTGGTAAAAGGGAATCTCCTGCAGGAGGAAAGCAAAAAAAGTATAGTCAGGGAGGGATGCAGGACCAAGGCATGGCTGCTACATGACCAGAGACTGCAGGCTCCATGCTAGTGGGACTGCAAATGATCCAGGGGAAAAAAATGTCCATGGAACTACAGCCTGACTCCAGGTGTTTTTTACACACACCTGTGTGTGACAGTATTTCTTTAAGCCTCACTGCTAGCATCCAATGTGAATGTTTTGTTTTGCTCACCTGGTATTTAGCCAGCAGCTTGCTCTTCCAGAGAGAATGGGCGAGATCATGAACGGACAGACGAAGGTTGTGGGTGCTTCCCTTGAAATGCAAAGTTTTAGGCTCTTCCAAAAGCTGCCCACCCATCTGCTGCTCAAGCTGGAGGACCTCCTTCAGGATTGGGATAAAAAGAAGAAAGTAGGTTTCATCAAGACAGCACACTGGTCTTCTGAATCCTCAAGGTTTTGTGCTGTAGATGCTGTAACTTGTGTAATACAGATTAAAAAAAATACACAGGCATCACACAGAATTGTGTGACCCTGTGAACTGGAACTGCATTAGTCGATCTGATTATAACCCTCTCACCTCCTTCATCCAGAAGCAGCCCAGAAGGGAGACACAGTGTTCTCTCACATGTCCTATGAGCAGAAGCTCAATTCTATGCTATTAAAGGGAATTTGAAGACTTGGCATGCAGTCACTGTTTGAGTACAGAAATAGATCAGTGTCCATTGCTCATCAAACTGGACGTCTCATGGTAGCTTTACTATCTTGTTTTTGGACACTCTTACCTGTGCATATCACTGGTCTGTCAGCTTATGGTCTCCTGCCCTGTGGCAGAGCAGTACAGGAGTCAGATACCAACCCTGACACTGTCCAGCAGGATGGCATGGAAACAGCCCAGGAGACAGTGATGGAGCATTTTATTCATACGAATACACAGGTTCAGGGCTACTGAAATATTGATCATGTGATCAAAAGCTAGCAAGCCAAGAGTCTGGTCATTTATGAAGCTCAATATAAGCCTGCCATTAATAAAACCACAGTGGAATGTTGTCTACAAACAGCCTAACTGTGGACCACATGGAAGAAGCAAGTATAAAGGCACTTCCATGAGCCCCATTAGAAACCAACATAACCGATCTCAGTCACATTTAATTAAAGGAGTCAACCAGCCAACCAGTCTTGTGGCTAAAGACAATCATACACAGTGGAGATGCTCTGGAATACAGGAGCACACAACACTGGGATTCTGCCCCAGGCCAAATAAAGAAGCCCCCATTTTAGCTAAGCTGCTCCTGACCACATTAAGGGAGGTAGTAAGCATATAAGAAAAGCATCTGGCAGATTCTGAAGCTAAAACAATGTTCTTTTATTGGCTATTAGAGGAAGAGAAACAAAATTAGGAAACCTTTCAGATTAAGGTTATGCCAATGAATCAGTTCCAGCTTCTTTCCAGTGCCACCTAATTACTTCATCAAGATGTCTAAAGAGCAATCAATAGTAATTATCTGATTACTATAGATCTTCATTATGTTTCAATTACTTCCCTGGAAGGTCCAGAGGATGACTTGTGGAACTGTGTGAGCAAATTGCAGATGACACCTCTCAGGCAAGTGGGGCAGGTGTGCTGAGAAGCTGTTCCTGCCCCTGCTACACTGGGAGCTGCACTACTGTGGGGGAAAACTGTAGCGTGATGCTGCACCATCCCACCCACCAGATCTGTGTGTTTAGTTTCAACAACCCACTTCTGGTAGCCACCCTGGGCCACTGTCAGCCCTTCCACATGCTCTAACTGGAGGGTGCCAAGCAGCCCTTGCTTCTCCCATGCCATTTAGCTAATTAATTCAGAATTAATTTGGAGCCATGACTTGCACAGCCCTTCAAACATGCTTGCTGGTTCCTGCCATATGGTCTTTTTTTGGAGCAGTGCTTATCTCACTGGCTGGCACCTCTGTGTCCATCTGAGCCAAAACTTGAACTGCATATTTCTTGCCCCATGCTGAGGTGGCTGTGGTCATCCTGCCCACTGTCTCTCACTGCCCTGCAAGGCAGGAGTTATTTCCTAGGAGAGGGAGCTGTGTAAAGCATCACTCCATCACCCATGACACCAGAACAGCCTCAACCTGGGCCTCCTCATTAAAGGGGCCCAAGCAAACAATGGTGCTCAGTCCAGCTGTGCCTTTCTTCAATAAAAGGAACAACATATGCATTAAACAACAGATCACAGGCCTATTGTGCCCATTTTGGGGTGTTTTTTTGAAGACAGTTACTGTGCAGCACAAGATAGGCTGGGGAATGTCACCCTGCTACAGCCTGAAGTCCTTTACATGCTCCCAGGGTGGGAGGCAGCTGTTTCCATGTATCTGGCTGCTCAGCTCCTGCCACTCTGCCACATACAGGTCACATACCTTAATCTCAAAGGCACACATCAATAAAGAGAGCAAAGCAGATGGATTTCTTTATAGCTATCATATTATTACTTTCTTCTTTTTCTTTTTTTTCTTTTTTTTTTAACCTTGGTCATCCCCTTCAAAGTGCAAAAATTAGCCTTAAAAAAAGAAGCCAGCACTCAAGGTCACAACTCCCCTCATCCTTGCCCAAAAAGCATTTTTGTGAGTGTCTCATCCAGGTGGCTTAGGACCCTGTGGGGCAGAGAATGCTGCATGTGTGATCAGCACCGAGCCCATCCTGCTCCAGAGCCACCAAGAACCTCACTAAGCTGCTCCCACAATAACCAAGCCCTTATCGATGGCAAATCGTTTCACTTCCCTACTGTACTGCGGGAGCCGGCAGCTCAGCTGCGAGTGCTTGCTCTGCATGATGAGAGGGAGCAGTCTGCTGGATAAACACTGCTCTGAGCTTCATACTGCAGCTACTTGTCTTCCTTTGGTGGCTGTTAAAACACAGTCAGCATATGGCACACTCATTCCTGGTTGTAAATAATAACAGAATGCCTTTGGTTGTCTATTAAAAAATACACACGATCCCCTACAAAGGCTCTTCCAAAGCTCAGGCAATGCAATATGGGAATATTGCTCTTCCCTACCCTTGCTGTGCTTTGCCTGGAGCTGCCAGCCTCAAGACACGGAGATGTTGCAGCTGGTGCTTCACCTGCTGCTTACAACTTTTCTTTCCTCTCTAAAATAGTTCTAACCTCAGAATCTGCTGGCCCAGACCTGCCTGCACGCCTTGTCCCCACACCCAGTGGTAACAGCCCTGTGAATGCCTTCCCTTTGGCAATACAGCAGTGCCAAGGATGTCCACCCAGCATGGCAGGGGCTGCTGTAGTACCAGCTGCTGTTAAAGCACATGCCACATGCCCCAACCCTTTTTTCTTCTATCTAGTCATAGACTGAGTCTACACAACACTGTCACAGGGGGATGTTTAGTACACAAAGGTTTGTATGTACCAGTTCATACATGCTTATGGACACACTGGTCCATAGCCAGCACTTCCATCTACGGCTGGCTTACTAGGCTTCTTTTTTGTCAATCTTCTCCTTCCCCAGACCTCACACTTCCAAAGAAGTGCAATTCATGCATTCATAAGAGTCTGTGGCCAGAAAGCAAATGTGCTTGTCCACCTGCAAACCACCAGCTGACTGGATCTTGAACTCCATGGGTGCCACCCCCCCATCTTGGGGTAGACATGCCAAAGAGAAAGAAAATTTGAATGCATGAACTTGACGTGAAAAAGCAGTAGGTACTGAGTTGGATGGTGGCCTCCTGACTTTGCTCACCTTTCCTCACCAATCTGCAGTCTCACTTTGGGGCCTAACTGCAGCAGGATCCCAAGGACTGACCTGTTGCCCTCCCAGATTTTGGCTGCAGCTTCTCAGGTGAAGAGTGGTTCACCTGTGTGCCTTTCCTGATCCCTTCTGCTGTTGCACTGAATTGGATTAACTTTACCACACAACTCTCCCTACAGTCTATTAGAAACAGACCAACAGTTCCTGAGTAATTCCTAATTAGATTCCTCAGCTCTGACTGCATTAGCTGGCTAGCCAAGGCCCCTACAACTCAGTTATTATTACCTCAGGCCTTGTCAAATCCATGGAAAATTGTATTATGCAGCACAGGCATAAAATCATCAGGACCTTTGAAGCTTGATAGTTATGAAAGATCCTTTCCACTTTTTTTTTTTTTTTTTTTTTTTTTTAAATAGGAAAAACAAAGGGAAATCAGATCAGGGAAAATAATTGTTTCTAAAAGGCTGATTGTTTCACCAATGCAGTGACAGAGACCAAGCTCCCAGAGGACAAAACCATGCTGAAGTCCCCATGTGCCTGCTTCACCCTTATAATTTGTTGCCTTTCTTACATATACAAGAGCACCCCCTCAGTAAAGCCTAGGCAGGCAATATCAGATAGTATCAGGGAGAACAACCAAGTGTGCTGCACTCAGTGATGGAAGTCACTGTTCTGAAAAACACAAACATCTCCCAGTCAGTGTATTTGAGTTTAAATCCCAAGAATTCCCACCTAGAGCTGGGGGGAAAAAAGCATGTACAGCAGCAGGATGACTCTGCTTAGTCAGAGTCATCTTAGTCAGGCTTTGAAATCACTTTGCTACAAAGATTTGCAGTAGCACCATCTACAGCTAAAGGAAAAACCCCACCTTTTAATAAACTCGGTTGTGCAGTTGGAACTACATACTTTATGAGTGCATCTATTATAGATACCTTCTGTATACATACAGGTATTTATAAAGAGAAATGGCAGGTATGGTTATCTCTCTGCTCATCTGCACATAGTGAGTGTGTGTTTGTGTGAATGCCAGAATTACCAGGTTACCAGGGAGAGTAAGGTTATCCAGTTAGGGATAGCAGCAGCTTTGCTTTACTCCAGTAGTGAATTCCCAACACAAAAAGCTGCACGCAAAGGGGTGTAATAAAGCAGTATGAAAGCAGGCAGTGATTAACAGGCCAGAAGCTTCTTTTATCATTATCAAGTATTTACAAAGAAGCATTTATATGTTTTCCCATCTCTGGGGAGCTGGCACTTAGCATTAAAAATACATGAATAACGAATGAAGCACTGTGTACCTTATGGCCTTTTAATAATGCAAAAACCTTAGTATTCAGGATATGATACAGGTAAACAAAGGAAAAAGGACTGGTGGGTGGAAAACAGTGTGAGATCCCTATGCAAAGGACAATTTATAACATATGAGGGTTAAACTGTAAAACAGCAGCTTGCTGTCAAGCTCTTCTTCTAATCAGAAAAATAACCCAGGGAGCATGAATAGATGGAGCAGAGGGTTCAGTCTCTGCTGTGACTGCAGTCCTATGAGAACTGGGGAGGGAGAGGGAGAGCAAGAAAGAGATCAAGAACCACCTTAAGAGCATCCTGCGTGTCATCGAGGCAGTAGACCCGGATGCTGTACTCCAAGGAAGAGCAGGACAGAGGTCCAAAGATGGCCAGTTTGAGACGTTTGGCTGCTGCCTTGGTGATTGACTGTCCCACCAAGGCATAGGTGCTGAGGGTTTCTGTCAGGATATGGCAGGCCTCTGGGTCCAGCTGGATATAGCACGGGGTGGTGAAGTTTTCCTCTCCGACCACCACCACATCCTAAGAGAGAGAGAGGCCAAGTTACAGCATGTGACACCTCAGAGCTGCTCTCCTTTTAGGCAGCAATACCCCTTTCAAGCTTGAATGATGCAAAAAGTCCTTGCTGTTTGCCCCTTAGATTAATCAAGGTCTAAATGTCCTGCTTCCAGCTTTTCTCCTGTGTAGGTACAGAGAGCAGATTTCTCTGGGGTGCTGGTGATGATGTTGGAGGTCGAAAATCCCTCTGTCTTCACTTATGCTTTTAAAGCCCTGGACAGAGTTAGGCAAATAATGAAAATACCACCAAGACTTTTATTGAAAGAGATATTGTAGAACTAATAATTTGGAGACCATGATTCAGCATCAGTAGTCTCAGGCATGCCGAATAAATAACTGCCCTTCACCTCCTAAGCACGACAATAAGGAGTTATAAAAACTCAGGGAAGGGAAGTAACCTCTGCGACAGCCAAATACCACATCTATATGAAATATCACCTGCTGCTTCCTCAGAACAATCCTCTGTGATGAGACTGCAGGATGAGGAAAAAAAAACACTGCCTGAATGCAGATGACCTCCCAGCCTGGGTGTACAGAAAAACAGCTCCCCTGCTAATTTCTCCATTCAACCCTGCGTGTAATATCCTGCACACAACACAAGGTGCTTTGAATGGCTTTGAGAGGGAGCAGAAGCGAAAGGTCAGCAGCGGGTGACAGCCGCCTCTTGCGAAGCCACTACATGCCACACGATGCTCAGCACAACCTGTCCACTTCATCCCTGCTGCCTGCAGCTCTGCAGGACAATGTACACACCTGGCAGCTGAGAAGAGTGGACTCTGCTGGCATTAGGCATTAAGCTCGGCTCCCTTGGTCTCAGGAGAGGCAAACCTGCCATGTTTGCAGCAGTGGCACAATCTTTTTGGAGGGCAAGGTGCTGCTCCATGGCGTGGCTCTGGCAGGAGGTGCTGCCCCAAGTGATGCTGCAGGCTGTGCACGAATGTGTGTGCACACGTGTGTGGGAGGCTCAGCTTGGAGGAACTGCTCCAGAACTGACAGGAAGAAGCTTGCTGTGTGATGGCCAGGGGCCCCATGGATGCTGCACACACACCAGGGTGTGTGTAGGGCTGGCAGAGCAACCTGTGCCTGGGGCAGGAGAAGGACGGGAGAAAATGAAGAGGGGCCAGTAACACACAGGCACAAATCAGGAACACGTGTGGTGCCATGAGTTGGGCTGTGGGGTGCAGATTGGCTGGCGAGACAGAGCTGTGTTTGCTGCTCGCTCCCTCCCAGCAGGAGGAAGAGCCAGTGCCACAGGCAGGAGGCCAAACACGAGAGGCTTTTGAAGACAATGCTGGCTGGACATGGCACTTCTGTTGCTGTCAGCCCAACTGTAGCCTTCAGAAGCCACCCTGACCTTATTAAACTTACCAGGAGGAGAAAGTGCCCTTGCCAATTTAATTATGAGACCAAACTGGTGGCAGCAGGGACCTAGGAGCATAGAGCTGGAAAGGAGGGCTCTGGCAAGATGGCTCAGCCCCGCTGAAAGCATCGCTTTATGCTCCAGTTATAGTGGGAAGATCCTTTTGCCACACTGCCTTGGGACATTCTCCTGCTACCCTACTGGCAAGGAACCACCTCGGGCTCCCACCATGCAAACCTGCTAGTACTAGGAGGTGCCAAAGTGCCCCAAGATAGATCTCTGCATGGGCACACGGCAGCTTAGACATCTTGTAGGGAAGGGCACTCCTGCCTGCCTGTAGCAGTCATGGAAACCCCAAAATACAGGCATCCAGGTTCAGAAAGGCAAGTAAAGGACTAGCAGAGGGCCTTGCATGCAGCCAGCACACAGGCTGGAGCTCTGGAGCCTCACCTCCCATGGTCCCTGGGCAGCCTGGTGCTTCAGCTGGATCTGCCAGTCCTCTGTGTTTGGCTCTGCGCAGTGGTGCATGGTTAAAATGACGGGCCGGGTTAGCAGGGCTCCTGGTGGGCCACAGCTCACCACGGGTGTCAGCAGGGTTTGGCTGTCTTCTACAGGTGGCCTGGGGAGGAGACAGAGAGATGGATACATTAAAGGAGTTGAAAAAGACAGAAAGGTTCATTTGGGTGTGTAAAAAGAAAAAATCTTTCTCTTAAAATAAAAAAGACAAAATAGGTGGGTTTTGTTTTTTCTTCATTTTCCCCAAATCCATATTTATTTCCTTTTTTGCTTGTTTTGCTAAATATCATTCATGTGTCAAAATGCATGTTTAGGTGTCTGCAAATTATAGGCCATATTTGCTGATTACACTCCACTCTGAAGGATCCTTGCAGATGGTATGCAGAGGCTTCATTTCACCCACTGCAAAAATGTGGTCACTGCTGCATTTGGCAGTTCTTCAGTGACACACAAAAATTAATGGTGGCTCTTGTAGGCACCACTTGAGAGAATTATTTACTGTCAGGACAGAGAAAACTGACAAAGACAGAAAAACACTGAATAAGCATGTAAACATGACTGAAAGTGGTACACTGCACATCTCAGATGTGCAGTTTGAGTTCTGAGGCATCACCAACCACTGATACTCCATTTTATTTAAAAGGCATTCAGATCTACTGGAATGGCTATTGTAAATAAGCCTGCAGGGAGCAAGTGTTACTGCTGGTGAGGGAGAAAGGATGAAGGGATGGTAAGGAGTAGTGCAAGGGTAAAACACACTTGCAAAGTCCAAGATTTCTAGTGATTACCCCAAGCTGTTCAGCTGAAAACACAGGTATTATCCAGTGTGCTTGGTGCCAGTCACTAGGAATTGGTGTTATGGGAAATCAGATGAATATTTAGGATACACAACACACACTCTGGTTTGAAAATGATAGTGTGTGTGCATGTGTGTGTGCAAATGTGCAAGTGCAAGCCATCCCAGACCAACCACTGAGGAGCTTAGAACAAGAGGAAGCATGAGTGACTTTAACTATCCTGACATCTGGTGTATGACAAATACAGCTGAATGTGCCTCATCAACTGCCTCCCTAAATAATAGAGGACAAATTCATGATCCAGAAACCAGCAAGTAGGAGTTTAAAAGCGTTCAATGTGATCTGCACTTAAAATCCTGATCTGCCCACAGGACCACATGTGCTCTGCTCTGGCTGAGGGTTTAGTCCCATGCTGCATTTACAAAACATGTGCATCAGTCTTAGAGGAATTAGTTGAGAAAACATTGCTGCTTTTTTCTGCAAGTCTTTGTCTTCACCAAGAGAAAAAAATAAGTAGCTGTAATCACAGAATTCTAGAATATCCTGAGTTGGAAAGGACCCACAAGGATCATCAAGTACAACTCCCAGCCCTGTACAGGATTATCCCCAAGAGTCACACCAGGTGCCTGAGAGCATTGTCCAAACACTTCCTGAATTCTGCCAGGCTGGTGCTGTGACCACTTCCCTGAGGGACCTGTGCCAGTGCCCAATCATCCTCTGGATGAAGAACCTTTTTGTGACATCCAACCTAATCCTCCCCTGACACAACTTCAGGCCATTCCCTCTGGTCCTGTCACTGGGCACCACAGAGAAGAGATCAGTGCCTGCCCCTCCTCTTCCCCTCTTTCTAGAAGTTGTAGCTGCAGTGAGGTCTCCCCTCAGTCTCCTCTTCTCCAGGCTGAACAGATGCAGTTACCTCAGCCATTCCTCACATGGCTTCCCTTCAAGACCCTTCACCATCTTCACTGCCATTCTTTAGGTGCTCCCTAATAATTTAGATGCTCTCTAATAGTCTCTCTTATATTGTGGTAGCCAAATCTGCTCACAATATTTGAGGTCAGGCCACACCCAAGCAGAGCAGATAATCTTAGATAGCATTTTCAAGGAGCCCAAATCAGGACAGAAGCTATTTTGACATCAGATTTATCACACCTATTCTGGCTATTGCAAATATATGTCCATAGCACTAATTTGATTTTGTTCACCTTAATTCTCCCTGCCTATCCCATTAATCTCACAGAATGAAAGACAAACTTTTGAGAAATCCTTTTTCAAAATGGAATGAAGGCACTTTTGAAAATTACCCCTAGTTGTCACAAATGTTGTGGAGGTTTTTGTAACATTTGAGAAAAAAAAGGGTCTGGCACTGAAACATTTAAATCTATGCAAATCAGTAAATCCAGATGATACGCATCTGTGGAAATTAACTGATGAGTTTACTAAACGACATAACAATTGTTTCTGAAAATCCATGGACTGGAAACAAACAGCTGCGATATAGATGTCTTTCAAAAAAGATGCAAAGTATAACAATCTGGACAGCTATCATGTATTGTGCCAGCTATTTTAGCCTAACAAACAATACACAAAATAAATGAAACACAAGGGGAGTACCTAGTCCAGCGCCTCTTGCATACCGCAGGGAATCCTCGGATTCAGATTAAGACAAGGTATCACTTTTTTGCAAGGCCAGACTGAATAAATAATTGGAAACTTTTTCAATAAAACATGCCTTCTTTTTCTGTCTCATTTACACTGTTATTTTTTTTTTTCATAAGAAGCAACAAGAAGCTTAAAAAACAGTCAGTGTGTCAGTGCTTTTAATGGTCATCAGCCTTGGGAATTGGTGGATATTTGAACACTCTCCTATGGTCTAATTCAAAAAATTTCAAGAAACATAGTATCTATCTTATGAGAAACATCTCTCAAAATTATATTTGTATGGAAAGCAGATATGAGCAGCTTAATGATGATCAGACTTAATCATCTAGTTAACCTAACTTCATCTAAAAGTACTGACCTATGAAAAAGAAAAGAAAATACAAGCTATCATGTTTTTTTTGGACTGAATTACAAAACAAGCAATCAAAATGCAAGAGTGAATATATCAGGATTGCCTTAAAAAATTAATATGATGCTTTTTATGTGGAAAATCAGTTAAAATCTACAAACACTGATGCCTACAGTCAAAAAAATCCCCAAAAGGTCTTTAAAATAATATGTTAGTGTTAAATCATACAATCTGAAGTTGTCTCCAAGTAAAGTTAAGTTTAGTCACTGTTTTGTGCCAAAATCTTTTTACTGTCATATTTTAGGACTCTGATGAAAGGGCATGATTCTGTGCTGCAACATTTTATAGCTGATTAGAACAAGTACAAAATGATTATGCAGAACACCAAGCCAGGATGCGTTGCAGACTGCAGAGTGAGGAGCTGAGATGGGAGGTGGATGCAAGCATACAAAAGACGTGTTAAAAATATCAAGACTAAATATTTTTTCCCCATGTTCATAAACAGCATCTTTATCACCAGACTTAGAAGATTTATCACTAAGTGGATGAGATATTCATGGTCCTGACCTGGGTATTTATGATAGAGAGCAGTCTGATTAGTGAAGAGCAGAAGAATGGTCCAGTTGTATGGGTGCTTGACTTTACAATCCCAAAACCCTAACCAGGCACACATCAGAGACTGGCACCATAAAATTACTGAACACCTGCTGGTCCTAGTGATTCTCCAACATCCACCTCATGCAGATAAACCTTTAAAAACTGAGCTACAGTGAGTTGCAGAGAAGTTTTCCAGGTGTGTGAGGTGGGTCCCTGTCACTGCTGAGGTGAAACCCCAGCTCTGTTAAAATGTATGCTAAACCTCTCTTTGACTACTGTGAGGCCGGGATTTCTACTCACAATGTGGAAAACAGTCATTACATTTACAGGTAACAATTAATAAGGAATCACTGCAAGTAACAGTGAAAGCCAGAAGACAATGGTAAAATTCTAGAGTGGGTAAAAATATGAGTAGGAAATAAAATTTTATTAATTGTATAGTAGCTCAGGCTGGGGTAAAACAAGTTCCAAACAAATAGTAACAAATAAAGCAATAACAGTGAACAACATTTCAGGTGAGCTTGCTCCGACACAGCAGGCATCAACACGTGATGTGACACAGTGACAAGAAGCAAATCTGATTTCTGGCACTGTCTGGGACAAGGCATATCAGAACACATCACAGTGATATTCCCTTTCCTCTCCAGCTCTACCATGGCTCAGGTAGCTGCAGTGTGTTTAGGGACCACCACGAGATCTCAGAAATAAACACCTGAAACTCAGAGGAATGAGGCTAGACAATGCAATGGCACAGACAGAAGAGAGGTGCCCTATGAAAAGCAACAGGAAAAAGGAACAAAACTCTTCCAACAAATATTTTGTCACATCTCACTGTTTTAAATTTCCATTTTAAAACAAAAGGATTATGCCTTACTACAGCTAATGAGAATAGAAACAGATGCAGTAGACAAGATACAGTATACAAGGGATATTAATCGTTCTTCAAAGCATAAACCAACAGTAATTCGTGGAATTAGTAAACAACAAATTTCCCTGAAGACAAGTTATTGTGTAGTCACTCATTACAGGCAATTTTATTCCTTCTCCTAAATAGGTGATGCAGCACCAGCAAAGCCAGGATCCCAGCCTAGAGGGGCATGTGTTGTGACCAACACTGAGATTTATGTGTTATAGATTTTGGGAGATCCAGCACAGACAGAGCCACAGGGAAGCTTATAGAGCAAGGGAGATAAACTTATGAGCAGAAATGATCAAAACTGTGAGCAATCTTTTAGGCTGTTATCCAAATATAAAAAGCCCAAACCCAATTCCCTACAAAAACCCCCATCAACATGAGTTTGACTTTAGGCTTGCAGCAGTCTTGGGATAATTTATTAGAGGAGACTGGCCACTCAGTACAACTCCAAAAACAAAGAGATGTTTTTGTTTTACAAAGAGACTGAGACTAAAATTCAACTCACTGCTTAGCGTTTCTATTAAAAGGCACTAACAGTAACTGAAAGGTCTTCAGTCTAAAATATTTTTAGATATTTTCCCATCCCTTAGAGATTATCAAGAACAGTCAACTTATATTTAAAAGCAAACAAACTTTTATTCACCATATCTGGTCCCTTCACAATCAAATTTGTGTTTTTAATGGGATTACTTATTTGAAACTGTCTCCCTGTAATAAGCCAGACCATATTCATTAAGGTAGCTGTCAGACAGCAGATGTGAACACAACTAGATAAATCTCTGCTCCTCAGTGGGACTACTGTGCTCCCCACCACTGTGCTCCAGGCAATCACAGCAGCTCAGGAAGCACAGGATGGAGCAGGGAGAGAGGAATGGCTATTGCATAACAACAGGTTGCAACCCTTCTACACAGCTTAGACAAAAGTTAGAGGGAAAATATTTTATTTCTCCTTTCATTGCTGGGGCTTTATTTTTTAATATGTGTTCGTTCTTATGTTTCAAACTTAATATTCTCGACAGACCCTGGCTCTTCTGACAATCTATCTTCAGAAGAAAAATACTCCTAAGAAGTTTGCCCTCCCTTTTTCTCATGCTCTAGTCTTTTTCATGTTGAATTTTTCAATTATAGTGACTGGCACTTCAAGAAATTGTCTTCTGGAGTTGCAAAGTAATTTTGTTTATGCAACTGAGATAAGGAAGGTGGGGAAATGAAATGTGGAAGACTTCAATTTCTTTTATTTCACATCAGTAAGCTTAAGATTTACTGGTGAAAAAGCAACATTACTCCTTGGATCACAATCATTGATCAGATGCTTGACTTTATATTAAACTCTATGCATACATTATTAAGCCTTTGATACAAATCCTGGCTAGGCTCACTTGACCCTTTTCTCTTTCAAGGTAGCTAATTTGAAATTTGCACATTCCATCAAGATCTTCAGGAGTGTTGTTTGCTCTGTTCTTCAGGGTTGTCAAATTTTGTGGACACAGTGACCTCCACTCTCATTTGGAACACCTCCTGTGTGATGGATTATACAGGAGTGTCCTTCACAGAGCTGTAGCTGTTTTGTGCAGTTCCTGTCTCTGATTAGAGCATGCAAGAGTAGCTCCACCTAAAGCTGTGCGAGCTCAGCAGGGGTTTACACAGGAACACAGGAACTGCCACACAAGATAAAACCAGTGGTCCATCAAGGCCCAGACCCCATCTAGCACTGACCACTGCCAGATGTTTCTGAAGGAAACATGGCTCCGCTAATTTAGCTCACAGCAAGATATGTTTTTTAACCCGAGGCAGTCAAACAAATCCTGGAGGCTGGAGGTTTATAAGGTTTATACTTACGCTATTTAATCCTTAAATTACAGATTAATTAAATAAAGTACTTAATCTGTAAAACCCAGGCTCTCACAGATGCACATGGGAACAGGTTCTTACCAGGTACTGGCCAACATAATGTGCTGATTTTACAGATGAAATCACTACTCAAGAAGGCACTCCTTGCAAATCTCAAAGTTGGTGATACTTCCCCAGACTAAGAGAGGGCATCTGCTCACCACTGAAAGACACAGCTTTGAGAGAAGCTTGTCTGATAGCTGTGATATATTCTCATAGGATTGTCATTTTTTCAGTTACACGTACAGTAAGTAACACGTACATAAATACGTATACATGTATAGATGTTTTTGCATGTGTACATATATGTCTACAAACAAACACCCATATATAATATTCCCCACTGTAGCTGTTTCTTGAAGGATGTGGATCTTTTCATGAGGTCAACACACCAGCCAGGGATCAGAGCCTGGAATCTGCCTGCCATCCATCCTGTCCCACATGACAGGAAGAATGAGGGAGAGCTTGCAAGACAGGAGCAGGGATAACACTCTCCTGGAGCATCAGCCCAGAAGAAGAGAAACCACATTGAGCCACGAGTATGCTGACACACTTATAAGAAATAACTGCCTCCAATGGTGTTTACTGCAAACTATCAGAACCCCAATTCACTGCCAAAGGATAATGCTTTTAGGGTGACCTTCCTGCTCTCACACGCTTTGATGGATATGAAATTGAATAAACACTGTTTCAGAAAGCTCTTCCAACCAATCTGCAAGGCAGCACAAAGAGTGGCATTACTGGGTTGTGAAGTCTCATTTCTGTACTACAGATTCAGAGACTAACTGGGGAAATTTAATATGAAAACAAAGGAAAATAAAAGGGGAATTTGCAGGTGTTTGAGAGATAACATATTTTCTGTTTCAGCTTGACTATTCAGAAGTAGTTTCACAGTTCTACAAGGTTTGAGCTAGATCTTAAGTTGTTGGAGATATGTGAGCTGGGGTGGGGACCGTCTCTGTTACTGGCCTGGCTCTGCTGGGGCAGCACTGTGGGGACCACATTCTTGACTCAGTGCTAGTTGTAATATCAAGGACAAGACTGCCTTCATTTCTGATAATAACACACATTTTATAATTTCCTGTGTGTCCTCTTCCAAACAACATCAACACATAACAGGAATTTTGAAGTCATACACATTGGCACAGTGCTCATGAAAATAAATACAGAGTCTCACAGGGTTTGTTGAACACACTGCAGTTACTGCCTGGCCATGGAAGCAAATGTCTGCAGCTTGTCCTTACTGGGGACTATCACTCTCTGCTAGAGTGCTGCAGGAGTGCAGTAGCTGATTTAAAAAATAAATACGCCACACAGCAACTTGTGGTACCCATATGCATCCAATTATATGAAGCAACATCTGTGGCCCATGCAGTCCCAAAAAGAAGCTTTGACTGAGCTGTAGCTCTGCTACAGAAGTGAAGTGCCTGGTAACCAGTCCTGCAGCAGGAGAACATTACAGCTGGGTGCCTCCCAGCCCCTTCTGCTCCTTGGCACCTGGGGAAAGGGGCAGAATATTCTATTCCGAGTGATCTAGACAAATTCCAATGAGCTCCATCTTAAATGTCCTTAAGAAGCTGCTTTCCAAGAGTATGAGGAGCCTGGTGTGTTTTCTGAAAAACTGCCACAAATCAAATAAGCAGCTGGGCTCTGTGCACCCAGAAAGTGACTGCCAGCCACCACAATAAAATGAGCCCTGCTGCCCCAAGGAAGACTGCTCTGCTCTCCTTTCCCAGGGAAAATCACATCTAAAATCTTCATTGTAAGTGACGATTCACAGCATTCTGTTTACTTCTGCAGGTGTCCTTTGGCATACTTGCTCAGGCTGGCAGGCAGCACATCTCCAGCCATGTTTCCCAACACAGGTTAATCTATCCTTCTATCCTCTGTGTGACTTGCTGAGTTACAGCTTTCACAAAGCATGCAGAGGCAGCTTTATGATCCTTAAAGAAAATAAATTAGACAAGTATGTGACATTAGTTGTCCACAGCTGCATGGATAAAGTAACAGGGATTCCCTCTATAATGACTGGAATAAAAATAACTGCATATACAGCACCTTCTAGGAATTAATTTTTTTTTTTTTAATTAGGTATTTTGGAAAGGGAGATTCAGAAGCAAGCTGAATAACAGGGGATGAAATCTGATTTTGTTTTCCTTCCTCAGGAAAGTTTCTTTGTTCAATATTGTTTGTAAACCTCTTTCACAGCCAAAAGTAATAGGAATATAATCAATACTATGATTATTATGAACAGAGATATTTTTTCTGTAGCTGCAATTAGCTATTTTCAAAGAGCAGCTGATGAATAATGTATGCAAAAGGGTGGGTGGAAGGATTACTTAATTTTTCTTTAAGCAGATTATTTTAGCTTGGGTGAAAGACTACCAAGCTAAAGAATAGTGTTCAATATCACACAGTGTATAAACAGCTGTGGCTTAGCACATAATAAACGCTATTAAGAGGCTGAGCCAAAAAACATATCTAGCTATGAGGAGGAGAAAGAGGCAAAGTACCGTGTAATGACTGCCTCAGCTTCACATTTGCCATTCTGCCTTTGTGCACGAGTCCATTCTGCAGCCTAAGTTTTCACCTTTCTTTACATTAGGGTCTTCTAACTGGCTCCAAATGGTATATTGGCCTTTTTGTAAGCAATTATTGTTAATGTCAAGGTTGCCAGATCACATGCCAGTAGACATTAAGATCTAGAATATGAATTGTCTGCACATTCAGGTAACAGGAGACAACAGTGGTCATCCCAGCATCAGCTCTGGGTGCCCTCAGCATGCGCTGTCTGGGGCTAAGCAGCAAGGAGGTGCTGCTTAAAAGCTTTGGCTCCATCCTCTGCATGGACTAGCCAAGCCTGTGAAGGGTAAAATAAAAGTTCACCTTCACTCTAACAGGAGAGGAGATTTTCCAAGTCCAGTGCTCAGGCAACTGTCCCTCCGCTGAGCTGATTTATTTACCTTTCTCCTCTGCTCCCTTCTCCTTTGCAGAACAGGTCTTTATCAAGAGGCTACTTCATACCTCTGCTGCACAAACTCATGCTGGCATATTTTCCTTGCTCCTCTACAATTCAGCATCCCCCTGGCCTGAGGACTTGCTGCAGAGTGCAACACTTGGTTAGGAAAGCAAATGTCTGAGCTGGTTTTGTGGCAAAATTTATCCTTGGCTCTGCTTGTGTTTACCTCCAAATCAGCAAATAGCTTCAATGCAGTAGGCTTTGCATAAGTATTATTATCACAGGTCTTCAGGTACTGTGTTTCCCCCCTCTCTTAGTGCACAAGGAAAATAAGGCAATTTTTACCTCATGTTCTCCTTCCTGTGAACTGTCAGATACATTTCATAGACTCTCCCTTGTGGAACGGCTCCCGCTGGGATCAGCAAACTTACTCCTGCAGAACAGAAGAGACACAAAAGATAAGATGGAGAAAAAAGAGGTGAGTGGGTCTGTGAAGGGGAGTGTCAGAAGAGGCAGAAGATGAAGCCTGCAATGCCAGATTTTCAGCCACCCTCACCATCAGACTGTAAATGACCTCAGCAAAACGCGAGAAAAATTTACTGTAACCCTTGTGTCTTCAGTGTCCAGCTGCCTGTTCTTTTTCCTGTGCACTGAAAAACAGAAATTGAGAAGAGGATTTTCTTCCCTTTCATTTTATTTAAAGAGCAGACAGATGGTTATGCTGTTGCTTACCTTGTAAAATGATGGAAAAACAAACAACTCTGACTAAAATTTCCAACAGCTGTAATAGGACATCTCTCCCTAGGCAATTCTTACTTAATTAAGATCAGGAAAGAAAAGCAGTGGAGCACTGTCCCAGGAAGCAACAAGAGCTAGTTGTTTCCTGAAAGATGGCTTCTGTGTCTGGCATCCTGTCTTTTAATGCACTCAGTTCCTAGGGAGGAACTGAGTCTGTCGGGAAGACAGAACTGGGCTTGGTTTTTCAAAGTGCCTAGTCCTGTAGAGTGCCCCAAAACTGGGATATGCAACCTTGAAAAAAACACGGGCAACTATGCTCAGTGTCGTTTTCACTAATGATTTGCTGCACACTTGATTAAAAAACACTGTTCTTACGTTACTTCCATTTAAGAGATATCTTGAGCACAACAAACATGGCCCATGAACTGGTTATTTCACTCTGCTGGACACATCTCAGCCAAATCTATTGGTAGATGTGGATTAGCTGGAAATCAATGGCAAGGATTTGCCACATGGCTGAATACAAACCTAGAGAAAGATTATTTACGTATATGTGTTTACTCTAGAGACATTTTATAGACACCTTGCATAGCTCTGCCACTTTTCTTTAGCAGTCACAGTTTGGTTACACTGGACACCTTCCATATGTTGGTGTGCAGGGCCTCAGTCCCATACTTAGCTTTGAAGGAGAGGGGTAGTTAGGAAAGCATTTTCCACAAATGCCTTCTGGTACTTGTGTTTTTACAGGCCTGTTACAACCTAACCTGTGCATGCTTGCAGCTGTAACAGGGCAGGTGTACTGCAAATGAAGGGTTTTGATCATATCTTGAAGACGACATACATTTAGAAGCAGCATAGAGGCATACAAGGTAGCAGCAGACAGATTATTTTATTTTACAGAATCATTACTTTAATAATTTTGAAGTGATTACAGCATCAAATTCTTTTTCTTTACAAATTGATATTAATATATGTGAATTAACAGTGACTAATAGACTTTGCTGATTATGTGCACCACTGTGGCATATCAAAACTGAGCATCAATATCTATCTTCAGCTGCTACTTAGAAAAATGCAATAACCAAGATTGAATAGCACAAATTTTCAACATTGCTCATCAGTCAGCACCAGATTTATTAAAGTAGTTCAGCTTTCACTTAAATTTAATAGGTATTCTTGCTACCCATTAGACAGGAATTCATAGAGCAGGGCTATGGGTCCAAGCACTTTTTGGCTGCTTCATGGGCAGTGTGGGATTGCATCATGGAACCAAACCACCCTGGTCCTGGGCCACTGAGGCATTTTGCTTCCTCCATAACATGAACAAAACAGAAATGATCCAGCAAAACCGCAGGGGACAAGTGTAGGCACCATCTCCTTGGTGAGGGCATTTGCTGTAAAATGGCCAAGCTATGAGCTGCAGTCTCACATGTACTGTGGTCCTACCTGAATTCAGAGTCCCAGTGAAACTGGGCAGGTGTGTTCCTGACCTTGGTTCCTGAAAATCAAGCTGTTCCTCACATCAAATGCTTTCTGCATTTGATTTGTTCTCACTTTAGGTATTAATGCTGTTCTGCAGTATCATGCTAAACCCATGGGAACATCTAAGTGCTGAACTTCCTTAGAAAGAACATCAACACTTCATGTAGGAACCAAACAGCAGCATGGCTCTGCTAAAAAATCTGTCTAAAAGACCTGAGCTCTCCCAAGGCTGCCCAAGAGCTCCTTGGATGCTCTGAAATTAACTGCTGGTGTCAGGGTGGCCTGAAGGGACCTGGAAACCTGACTTGAGAAAGTCAGGTATGAGAAAGATTGAGCAGCATGTTGCATTACATCAATAGGCCCTCAATGCTCAGTCCCTCTCTTTCCTAATTGTAAAGCAAGTCAACAATAAATACAGGTAAAAACCTCCAAAAATAGTGTTCTGTTGTCCTCCTTCAACTGCACATAGTCTGCAATGAATTGGAAGTGGAGCAACCAAGTTGTTTTTAAATTAATTTGTTCTCTTTTAGTGTGATGACAAAACAGAGGCTTACTGTATTGAAGTCCCTTTTCTAGAACTGCATGAAAGGAAAAGGTGATGCTGAATTTCACTTGACACAGGGCAGCTCTGACAGCTCAAGCCTTGCATGTCTCAGAAAGTGGCTAAGAGTCCTGAAATATTCTGTTTAGAATCAGACAATCATTTAGGCTGGAAGAGACCTCTAAGATCATTCAATCCAATCATTAACACATCACTAGATCACATTCCTATGTATTAGTTGAGAGAAGAGACCAAACACCTTGTTGAAGTCTTCTTTCAGGCAGTTGTAGAAACGGATAAGGTCACCTCTCAGCCTCCTTTTTTCCAGGCTACACAACCCCAGCTCCCTCAGCTGCTAATCCTGAGACCCATGCTCTTGTAGTGAGGGGCCCAAGTCTTCCTCAGCTGTGTTTAAAAGCCAGAACTTTGGGTAGAAAGTATTCCAAGTACTTTCGTAGATGCAAATGGAGGGGGAAAAAAAATCCCATCTATTTGTTTTGATCAAAGAAAAGGCAGAGTGCCAAATATAGACTTTCTTTCCCCATATAAAACAAGCTAACACCTCTTTAACCGACAAGACAATTGCACTTTTAGGCCAGCATGGCTAGCACTTACCTGAATTGGGAATTACTAGGTGGCCTCCTAAGGAGTTGAAGGTCCCAAAGGCGGTGCATGATGGGTCAGTTTGCCGGGCAAGGCTCTGGTTCTTCATGTTCAGGGTCTCATTTTCCAGCAGAGACTGCGTCATCTGTGGGGACAGCTTGGAGGAGAAGTCAGAGAGGTCATCCTGGGGAGTGACTGCACCGGGGGTGTTATAAACCTTGATCTTCAAGTTGGGGAGGGGGTCCAGAATTGGAGAGTTGGTCATTGGGATTTTATCAGAGACATCATGCAAGGCGTACACAGGACCCCTGTACATGGCTGCAGCAGAAGTGAGGTCTGGTGGCACTGCCAGGAGGTCTGCAATGGAGATGAGAAGGAAGAAACATGTTATTTCTCTGTTCTGATGACTTTATTCCAAGCAACAATTTCAGTTTGCATTTGCATTTTGTCTTTCATTCCAAACGTTCAGAGACACAAAGTCCATGAACCTTCATCTCCATTTCCATGAATTCTCAGCAAACTCCCAGCGCTCCTTTACCCCAGTTGCTTTGCAATCCGATTGCTGTACAAAATTACAGCATATTTCTGCTCTGAAGAGTTTTCACTGGGAGTATTTTTCCAGGCTGCACTCAGATTCCAAATATGACATGCTTAGCTTTGGGGCAAGATGTTTTCATTGCTCGGTAGATCTAGTTTTAACTAAACCCCCTTCCTAAATGCTATGCAACAATCATTAGCCAATTTTTCTAACTGGCCTAATGACACCATTCCTGAAATAAAAGACAGCAAGCCTATGAAGTCATCATGCCCATGACTCCCTGTAGTGGGGGATTAGAACCTGCATCACGCTTTTCTAAGATGTGCTTTAAAAGTTTCTCCAGCAAAGAAAACACTTCTGCTAATCTAACATGTGACAACTCCCTTGTCATTCCAACTTTCATGATGTAGATATTTCTCTGGTGTAGATATTGTGGAAAAAAAAGGAATTCTTCAGCCTAAATAAGTGTCTTGATAAAGGCAGCACTACCTTTAGAGGTTTTTTTCCTGGCCAATGAAGCAAGGAAAAAAAATCAGGCTGTTATGCACCAGTGATAAAAATATTCATTATTAAATTATGTTCTACCACAACTTCTACATTTTCTATTAAATGCACAGTACCTCTCAAAGTACTGTTTATACCAGTGGAGACGGGGCATAGGAAGAAAAGCTAATAGTGAAATAAAGGGGAGGGAGCTGTGTTAGAATTACTGTAGTATCACTCCCCTGATGCACCCTGCCTCCACTGTTTCTGTCAGAGCTTTGCCTTTGATTTCAACTTGAGCTGGACCTGTATTTCCATAAAAGTGTCTGAGTTTCAATCTCACATTCATCATCTCTCTTCAGAAGTTAAATTCACCTGCTTTATACTCTTGAGCACAGCTAACAAACGCCACCACGGGTTTTGAGCATTAGACAATCAGAAACAAATGAACATGATCTTTCTCCTCTTTACCAAGTGTCAACAGGCATCCAGCAATATCATTCATGCAGCCCAAGAGACCTGCTAGCCCAAGTAACCTGATAGCTTCTCCCTGAATTGGTCAAAATGGAGTGAAAGAGTGAAATGCCAACTAACCTTGCCTTGCAGCCTTGATGTTGACAGGCTGAAATCCCCCGTTCAGTGCCGAGGAGTCAATAATATCCGACTCAAAGTCCCGGTGGTTCTTGCGGTACACAAACAGGGCCACGACCACAGAAATGGCCAGGCACACAATCACAGCGATGACGATCCCCACGTAGAGCGCAACGTCATCTGAGTCAGGAGCAGCTGCAGGGAGAGAGGCCAGGAACCTTCAAGAAATGTCCTCCTTACAGGGACTTTCAAGAAAACATGTTCTTATTATTCTCATTTCCTGCAGACATTTACTGTCTTTTTTATAGGCTCATGTAAAATCCATTTCCAAGTCTATGCCCTTTTGGTAGAAAACAGTCCTTGATTTCTCTCTAACTTATGTTCTAACTCTTTACCTATCAACTTGTTCATCTATCTAATACTCAGTTTGTGAACTACTAAGCAGAACATGCTATAGACTTACTTTTATGAACCAAATTCACCCTAGGAAATGAGACTATGTCTTAGTGACATAATGTCCTAATATTGATATTTAGACATTCATCTGATAACAAAGACATGTGGGTTTTAAAACTTCAGAAGCCTTATTTTTACTTAAAAAATATGAAAGACCCAAAATTTCCATTTTCTATGGACTATTCAGACATATCTTTGGTTGGTTTGGGGTTTTGTTTGAAATGCAACCTGTCTTTACTCCCTTCCATCCATTTGCCTTCAAAAATATAAACTAGTAAATTAGTAAAGCAGAGAATCAAGCATTGAATTCTTATCAGTGGCATTAACACATACATATTAAGATAAAAGCTGAAGTAAGCACAAGAAATAATGGGGTGATTTACCAAAAGGAACAAAAATTTATTAGATCTGTCTTGTGAAGAAATGGCTATGATATTTCTACTAGCTGCTTGTACCATATCTTCAGCACCAATTCCAAGCTAATCTCTAGCATCATTATCCACCAGACATTTTTTTCCCAAAAGGTCTGAATAAGTGTTCAAAAATTGATGTACTTCTATACAGTGAAAAATCCCATTTTTAGAAATAGCCTAATGAAAAAAGGAAGTGCAAAAACAAATCAGACTCTTTTAGTACCCAATTTTTGTTGGTTTGAAACATGTGAAATCACTTTTATTTTTATCTCTTTTAGCCATTTAAGCCAAGCTGCCCTCCAGCTGCAGAGGTGAGACCTGGTAGATGCAGAAAGGGACTGATCAATCTCCGACAGCTCCGGGCTACCAGACCTTCAATTTACCAAACTTGAAACATCCCATTTTTAACCCAGCAGTTCAGGAAGCAGAACTCTTGAGTTCTGGCTCAAAGACAAGTTACCCTTCCACCACACTCCGTCCAGTTGCTAAGGGAATTTTAATGAGAAGATGGCTCATTCTCTCCAGTTTCTGTCTCTGAGGCAACATCATTTCCCCTTTCCCTCATGCACAAAGGCTGTATCTGCTGTGAAGCACTGTGCCTGCTGTCAAGCAAGCAGAATGTCACCCTGCTGAGTAGAATGTCCCTTTTTTTGCCTAGTCATACTGAACTTGCCTAACAGTAAAGCTTGACCCAAGGAACAGCATCAAATTAGCATCCAGGAATATAAAATCAAACATTAAACTTACAAGAAAATCCATATTCATTCTGGGTTCTCTGTTCAGTTGAAATAGGATAAATGAAACCTTAAAAAGAAAGAAATTAAACAAAAATGGGAACAAAATCAAATGAGAACAAAAAAATGAAGCATGAAAAATAGTTTAATTAAAAAAAAAAAAAGGAAAGGAAGAAAAAGAAACTGATGGCACTTTAGAATTCTGATACAGCACAGAATCATGATTTTGCATCCCCTGTCTCCTCCAGAGCCTTACTAAGAATTAATAAGCAGGCAGATTGAATTTCTAAGCCAAAATCGGTCTCGAGTCACTAACTTTGGAGTGCTTAAAGTCTTTCTTTTATTGAGCATAAACTGTAATGGATCTAATTTATTTCAGACATCTAGGGTCATTAGCATATGGAAAGTCTTTTTATCCTATCCCTGCCATATGCTTTAATTCCCAGGACATGTTCGGTGAGGCTCTAAACAGTTTTTATATTTAATTATAATAGCTTGCTGTTGATCTGATAGAGCTAAAGGAGACCTGTTGTCACTGGTCAGAGGTTAAATACTGATTCGTGGAACAGTCTATGCACAAAGCCCTCTCTCTGTATTTCCTTGGAATTATTTTATCCTGTCCTAAATACATGTTCAATAGGAATTCCTTAGGGAGTAAAGAATTTGTCAGCAAACAGTAAACTGAGTGGTTTCTCTTTGAAATCATTACAAAATCAATAAGGCCCCTGGGGTCAGATCATTATTTATTTGAAATCTTAGCAAGCGCCATATATTGACAAAATCATAACACAATTTACAGCTTTATTTCAGGATGGATAAAGAAGAGATATCAATTCCTTTGTCTTTTCCTTCTGCAGTCCCAACAGCACAGCACACCGGAGCTGCTTAGTTCAGACATGAATCCTGTGAACCCATTAAGCATCTCCCATGTAGTAAATGAGTGAAGTGTTCCAGGTCCCATCATGCTGGAAAGGTAAATGACAAATCCCAACTAAGCAGGAGTCACAGTCGGGGATGGGATTAGAGTCAGTGTAAGAAAGAAGGTACTTCTCCTCCATCACCTTCCCTTAAGTTCTCCTGAAGGGAATTTCACCCTCTCCCCTTTGATCACACTGCAAGGAGCTCACACAGCTGGGGACTCCCTGCAGGTGAGACAAAACTGGAAAATGCACTCCTGGTGTACTTCCAATGCACAGGACCACGTTACAGGCAGACCAGAGTAATTATCTCCAGCTCCCAGATCCACCAAGCTTGGGTGCTCTGTTGTGAGCATCTGTTGTGTTCTACAATATCTTGCCACTTTGCTGGATTTTTTGTTAATGAAGACACAGTTTATCCCAATCACAGGCATAGATATACCTCCTTCCAAAATTTCCAGGCATTAACTACTACATAAATCCTACCTTACCTGAAATACCAGAGCAAATCCTGATGATTTTTTATGATGATGTTTTCTTCTGGGATATCATTACTGCCTGTAATCTCTGTTTAAAGCTTTACTTCACAGCAAGGATTCCAGCCATACCAGTGTTTTTAGAAATATTATGTTCTTACATTCATTTTGAGGCAAGTTCACCTATGTGCACTCTCAACATGCATATTCAATCTTTCGTTAATAACTGCCTTCTCTTTCTACTGGCGTACTTGAGGTATTGGCCATGAAAAGTCTGGTGAGTAACTTCTGAGGGCTTGAGTGAGTGCTCAGCAAGTCTGGGTATGAATTTACAGTACTCTTGTTACTCTCAAATACTCCCCAGGCAAGTGCTGAGGCTCATAATTTGGTAAAGGTAAATTTTAGCTATAGCCTTATTCCCAATATTTCCTTTTCCAAGATGTCTCTGGAGAGACCAAGAGGCAGGCAGAATGAAATTAAAGGCCCGGGGACAAAGGGGATTTTAGGCTGGATGCATTTCTGAATGATTTTTTGCCTGGTACTCAAATCCACTGGGAAAGATGAGGATGTCCCCTTGCATTTCATGTGCCCAAGCAGGTTCTCAGGGGAGATGGAATGGAGCAGCCCACATGCCCTGGCTCTGCATCACCCATGGAGCTTGAGCTCACCTGTGCAGAGCTGAAGAGGCTATTCCTCTCTCCTCACATGGCATCTGAGGTGGTCAGTTTTGTGTTCAAGGCTGTGCATCACTCCTGCTACATCTGAAGGGATCCAGCAAGTGCCACTCAACAGGCACAAACTATTTGCCAGCTGGATTAGCTGTGTTGTTACTGAAAGCATTCTTTCCTCACAGGAAAATGGAAATCCAGGTTCAAGCTTTTACAGCAAAGTAAACAAGCACAATCCTCAAATATTCTAAAAGGAATTTGCCTCATTGCAACCTCTCCGCAGACCCTGCTAGTCATAAATACATATTTGTGGCTCACATCTTTCCACACACTGTCTTACTGCTAACTACAGACAGCAACCCTGTAGATACATAAGAGTAATGCCAATTTCCTCCACAGAAATGTTTTGTGCATGCATTCAAAGATTGAAATCTATTGAAACAGGAGGAAGAGGCAATGATATTATAGGATACTTCTGCCATTTGGGCAGGATGTTTTACAACAAAATTAGTTTTAAGCACGCCCCCAAAATGCACTCCAAAAGGGACTAAGCCTTGCAGGGGCAAGGAGAAGGCCTGCAGCCATGCACTGGTGATGGGCAGGAGGCAGGTTTACTGCCACAGTCCCAGCAAAAGAGAATGGGATTTTCTGTAGAAAATTATCTGTCACGCTGGTCCCTCTGACTATGCCTTCAAACAATGAAAAAAGGACATTTTCATCAGATAATGACACAAACCTGCAGGGATTAGTAACTGAAATAATGAAGAATGTCTTCTCTCTTCAAAGTAATTGCAATGAAGAGAGATCTTTTCCATGTTTTTTTTTTTTCTTCATCCTTGTATTAACAGCACTGCTTGGCAAATACCTAAGGGACTTCTATACCAGGGTGATGAACATTTTTAATGAGTGTGAATTTAGAAAGGTGCTGGAGGGTTTGACTCCAGGAAGGCTGCTGACTCATATTTAGAACAGCTGGTTTCACAGTGAGCTACTTTGAGAAAAGTAATTTAAGCTTCTTCCTACAGCTTGTTGGGAAATTCATATTTTCAAGAGTGCTTCTGCTATTTTGTTGTGTAACTTACTGTTGAATGAGTAAAATAGCAATAATCATACTTTATGCTTGCATAGTGCCTGCTGTTTGAGGTTCTCAAACGCTTATCAAAATGGGTATTTGTTTCCCTCATTCTACACGTACCTCACCCCATGTCAAACCTGAAAAATCAGTGGGAGGCCCAGGTTAATGCATAGAAATTGAACCTCTGTAATTGCATGGTAAAGGCATTCAATAAAAAGCTTTTACTTAAGTTAATGTAGTCTACTTTATAGTCCAATTTATGTTTGTAAATATATTTTTGTGCCTATGGAAGTGTTTCTATCTAGTGTCAAAGCTGGTTTTTTTAAACGAAATTAATTACACTGGCACAAATCCTTTGTACAAATGTAGATGTACCATTAAAAAGGTGTTTTAAGTAGACATTGGCTATTTTGTTTCTAGAAAGCATGAGAAGAGCAGTTTAATCACCTTTATAATGATGCAACACACTGGGAAAAGCAAAGAAGGGTGCATATGTCAGATTGTACTTGAAAAATTAACTAATCCATTGTTGACATATAGAAAAGACTACAGCAGGCTTTTTATCAATTTACTTTAACTCAATTTAAGCATCAGTCACACTTGGCACTGATTTGGGAAATTGTGACCATTTAACTGAATAGATTGTGAAGCTCATTTAATTAGTTTGGTGCAGTTTGTGAAGGCAGATGATACCCACCACAAACACTGGAAGTCTAGCCTGAGCATTCTGGTCCCACATGCCTTGTTTTGACCTTCTGGGAACACGTTTGTGCTGGAGGCCCTGGAGACAGAGCTGCTGCTCTGTGTCACTGAACAGCCCTCAGCATATCTGCATGAGACTGTCACCAAAGAGTCACCAAAATGACTATTCTAAGTTCTTCTTCTTCCACTGAGAAAGAATCAACTCCTCAACATATTCATGGGAATTAAAAATGTTATACACACATGGTGTTCAGCCTGGGAGCTCATGACCATGGGCATTTCGAAATCCTGTGTTTGATTTTACCTAGAAAACCATAGGAATATACTGCCTTGGCCTGTGAACTGGAATATTTTAAAGAAAATTTTTATCCCTGTGTTATAAAACTCTAGGTCACGGCTTCATTCAGAGAGAACTTTGTAACTGACTCCCCTTTTTGCTCCATAATTGGTTTTGCTAGCTTTCTAGTCATGCTGAATTTGTATTAATGAATATCAATTTTAGAGTGAACTGACCAGATTATGAAAATATTTTACTTTACTGCTTGCAGAAATTAAAATATTTAAGTAAGAGAGAAAAATACACAGTTTTCAATTTGTATTTTTCTTGACTATTTTCCCTCTTTCTGGCAACTATGTAGGTAAGACAGGTGAAGTAGCTGAAGATGATATTTCTGGCCACTTATTTACTAGGGTTTATACAGTTTGGGTCACATATATGAAAATATTTACAATTACCCTGCAAATAAATAGTTTTATAGCATTAGCTGCTGAAGTCATGGTTGATGATACGTAGTTTGAGACTTTATCGAGATCAGTGAGAACTACAGACCTGCACTTTCATTTAATAAGGTGAAGAGTGCATAAAGCACACCATAACTGCTAATTTCTTCAATGCATCATACTTTAATCTAGCACCACTTGCTTCTAATCTATAAATTCTCCTTACTCGCTCTGTAGCAGATTGAAAAACAGCTGAGCTCAAGTAATTCCATGGTCCTTCTGAAAGCCTGGCCACATGATGTGCCTCAAGAACATCCTGTTGCAAAGAACTCAACAGGTGGAGCAAAACATATTGTAACAGCACTTTCCCCCCTTTTGGCTCTAAAATCAATGCCCTCAAATCACCTCTGAGAGAACAAAGAAAAGAAAGCATTCAACTGCTGCCTTCCTTTCTCAGGAAACAGATAGAGACTGATTCTTACATGCAGATGATTAACATTTGAAGGAGGCAG